TTTTTCTGTTTAATTATAAAATACTACTTAAACTTATGAAGGACTAGTTATTGTTTTAAAACTTCTATTTTAGTTTTACATATATTATTACATTTTAAAACTTTAAGTTTTCTATTACGTGATATTACACACTTCTATTTAAACTATATACTTATAATCTTAGTTTTATTATTTAATTTTGGAAATCTTCTCTATGGCTTCAGGTAAAATATTGTGTTTTCTTGAGGGTCTGTGTTTTTCTATACAGAAAGTTTAAAATTCTTTCTCTTAAAATTAACAATTCCATGTGGAATCATTAAACAACCAAACTTTTATTTATTCCTACCAGAAAGAAATAGTTTTTTTCCCAGATTTTTTTCCTGTTGTTCCATAACTGGGGCCACATGGGAGGTCGTAATTTCTAATCACAAATATTTACTAGTCCTGTAACATCCATGTCACTGAGAAATTAAACTTGGTTCTAGCTAATGAAAAGCTCAGCCAGGGGATTCACCAGTGTTCAGCTGTGGGCATCCATTACTTTCCTCAAGATTTGTGTGTACAGGATTTAAACAAGGAATATTTGAAGAGGGAACCAAAGAGCTGAGGTTGATGTCATATTTAGTAGTGCATTATAATTTCTCTTGGAAGTGGCAGACCAGTAATCTGGGAATTTTGGCTGTCATCCTGCTACTATTTATGACCAATTTTAATGCAGTAATTACATGTAGGGGAAATTCTTCACTAGGTTGATGAGATAAATGGAAATTTAATCTTTTTTTCTTGTTTGGTTGTCCAATATTTTTATGGCATCCTTCTGGAAGCAAGGGGATGTAATAAAAGAATCTGGAACTCCATTGCTCCTTGGAAGTACTGATAGTTTGAAAGATTTGCTCAGTGTAAGTTAAAGGCAGCTCATTAAACAAACAAATGAGCTGTCCTTAGAGCAATCAGTATTTACTATTAACTGAACAGCACAGTAAATAATGAATTGCAGGTAAGGAACTACAGATAAGTATTTGCAGTGAATTCAAATTACTTGACTTAAGCCTGAGGCAGAGAAAAGCAAATAGAAAGCCAGAGAGAGAAAGAGGAGGGGGGAAGAAGAAGGGAGAGGAGGGGCTGCAAATGTAACATTTGTTGTAGCAATCCGTGTTCATTTGTGGTGCAGAAGAAAGGTTTTCCTGGGCAATCTGGTGCCCCATCCGTGGTGCAAGTGGTGCTGCAGTGAGTCCACCTGAGAGCAAAGGAGGATGTGGAATTTCTGGGAAAAAGGAGAAGAGAAGGTTGGGGGAGACCTTATAAATTTTTCCAGTATGTGCAGGGGGGTCACAAGAAGGCTGGAGAGGGATTTTGGACAAGGACGTGGATGGGCAGGACACAGGGAATGGGTCTCACTGCCAGAGGGCAGGGCTGGATGGGATATTGGAAATTTATTCCCTGGGAGGGTGGCAGGAATTATTCCCAGCTGTGACTGCCCCTGGATCCCTGGCAGTGCCCAAGGCCAGGCTGGACACTGGGGCTGGAGCGGCCTGGGACAGTGGGAGGCGTCCCTGCCATGGTAGGGGTGGGAGACGATGATTTTCAAGGCTCCTTCCACCCAAACCATCCTGTAATTCTGTGAGAAGCAGGACTCTGGGCCTGACCCAGCTCAGAGAGCAGGGCTGATGCTGTTCCCAAGGTCAGGATTTTGCAAGTGGGTCCCTGGCTCTGTCCTACCCCAAGGACAGAGCTGTGCTTTGGCACCAGCGAGACCAAAACCTGCCCATGGCTGCCAAGTGCCTGCACAGCTCCCTCAGTCATTTCTCCAAATTACTTAGGCAGAGAAATTGTTCATTTACTGGGAGCTGGCACACGTTGAGAAGTTTGGGTTTGGACTCAAATCATGGTTGGAGTGAGAGATTGTTCTGCCTGGAGTTTGGGTGTGTGACTGTGTCTGAAGGCAGGATGGATGGGCTGCCTGGGGGATATTGCTCTTTAAGGAAGGGGCTTGGGGTGTGTTGGGTGCTGGAGGTGAGAGGGAAGGTTGGGGATTTAATCAGGATCTCTGCTGGGACAGCCAAAGGCGTGACAGGCCTCCTAAACACCCAAAGCTTGGCAGCCCTGCCTAAATGTCACCTTAGAAAGGTGAAGAGCTTGGCCCGGGTCTCTGCAGGGAGGATGAACCTCTCCTGGCTGAGCACCAGCAGTGCCCAGAGCACAGAGCAGGGAGTGGGGCACATCAGGGAGATGTGTGTGAAGTGTTGGCATTCCATAATCACTGTCACAGCCTCTGCCACTTCCCCAGGGATAAGAGACATAGGAGCACCAGGTTTATCTTGCTGGGAGGTTGTCACAAGGTAAATATCTCTGCAAAGAGCCTCTTGCTTGTTTCCCATCACCCCAGGGCTGCTCCTCATGGAATCCCCTCCTAAAAACCCAACAGAGATCCCTGCGGGGAGGTCCCCAGGTTGAATTACCTGCTGGGTGTGCACAAGTCCATCCCTGCAGGTTCCCCTGTGCTGCCTGCTCCCAAATGCTGCTGCTGCCAGCCCCTAGCATTAGTATTCAAGCCAGGGACAGGAGTGAGGTGCTAGACAGGCCGACTAATTACAGCAGCCTGCAGAGGCAAGGCGGGCTGTGCCACATGATGAAGGACATCCTGCTTCCTTGGAACGTTGCTGCTCTGCTGTGGCACTTCATTTAAAAAAATAAGAAAAAAATAAGGTGTGAGCTAATTGGTTTGGTTAAGGAATCGAGCTGTGCTCTTGTTTGGTCTTTTCTTTTCTTGGATTTAATCTGAATTTATACAATGCTTTGTGACACTCATCTAAAATGAAACTTGCTGTGACCTTAGCAAGCTGCACATCTCCTGTAATCCCAGCTCTCCTGCCTCTAGCTGCCATCCTGACCTGCCTGCTCCTGTCCCCAGAGCTCTCAGCAGATGGAGGAGAGGAGGCTCTCGCTGCCACCAACGTGCCATCTGCAGGCAGCAAGGCTGGGCAGGTTTTTATGAGCCTAAATTGCAATTCTGCATCCAGAGGGTTTTCTGTCAGAGCATCTGTTTTACTGTCATGACACAGATCCGGGGCTGAGCGTGTGCCAGGAGCAGGTGAGGAGGGGGACAGCCCCATCCTGCAGTGACAGCAGCCATCAGGTGGCTGTGGCTGCTGCGTGTCCTGTGTGTCCCCTGTGCTGTCACACAGCCCAGGTTTGGGCAGGCTGAGCTTTGGAAAGCTCCACTGCTCATGAGTCAGAGCCAGGAGAACTCAAACTGAGGGAAGAGAGCTGCTGGTGTTGCCTGATTCTGGCTGATTTACACCCAGGATGGCCTGGGGGTGCCAGCTGAGTCTGTCCCCTGTCCCTGTCCCCTCCAGTGCCCTTCTGCAGAGCGGGGCACTAAGCAGATTAGTCAGCTTCTTCCATCAGCAAATACTCTGGGCCTAAGATACTTAAAAGACATCTGGTTTTTAGCCTCATTTCTAAACAAATGAGGCTTATGTGATTATGGTGTCTGTCGCCTGCCCCTCGTTGGCCAATTGCAATCCCCAGCTGGGGGTTCTGGTCTCACAGATGTGAACTTCCAGCAACTTTCTGTGGGCTGGTGGGGACAGAACTCGTCCTGGAGGGAGGGCCACAGCACCAGCTGTGAGAGGGAATGTGCTGGGGGAAAACATCTCAGTTTGCAGGGAAAAGCAGCCATGAGGAGAAAACCCCCATGGCCTGGAGGGTGTGGCTGTGGGCTGAGCTCTGCCTCTCCCCCAGCTGTGCTAGGCCAGCCCAGCCATGCACGGTGCCACCTCCTGCTGTCCCCACATGCCAACTGCTCCTGTGATCCCAGGATTGCTTTTCTGATCCCTGGATTAGCGGGCTGGGATGTGCAAAGATACCAGAGCTGTGTGTGAGGCAGCCTCAGCTGGGCTGCCAGGGCACTGCCCCGGTGAGCTGTGCCCGTGGAGCAGAGCAGGCCAGGCCATGCCAGCCCAGCCTGCCTGGTGGATCCAGGGCTGCTGCACTGTGGCCTTGTCTTCAGAATTGTTCTTTCACAGTTATCCTGTCAAGTGAAGTCTGAATTCTCCTGGGACTGATGTCCCTTAGCACTGTGAGAGGTGAACAGAGCTTGTGGTGGTTAATAATTCACCCAGGGACTGTGGATGAAGCTGGTGGTCAGAATCCTCTGTGCACCCACTTTTGCAGAATCCCAGAGTGATTTGGATTGGAAGGGGCCTTAAAAATCATCTTCTCCCACTCACTGCCATGGGCAGGAACATCTTCCACCATCCCAGACTGTTCCAAGCCCCAATGTCCAACCTGACCTTGGGCATTTCCAAGGATCAGGGGCAGCCCCAGCTTCCCTGGGCACCTGTGCCAGGGCCTGCCCACCCTCACGGGGAACAATTCCTTCCTGATTTTTGATCTAAATCAGAATTCTCTCCTTATCTTCTCTGTGAATTTCACTTAGGGCTGTACCTGTCTCCTTTTTGCAGCTGCAAAACATTTTCACCTTGTCATTCAGAAGCTAAGGGTGTCCAATGGAATGTGTAAAACCCGCATAGAGCAGTTCTGGGACTGGGAGGGAAAAGCAAAGGTTTCATGTTCTGCTTCCTAGTAATGAACTAAATGAGATTGTGTCTTTCTTTGAGCATAAATGAAAGATAAAAGACAGATGAGATTTATGAACAAGGTCATTAGTGTACCAAATTTCTCTCATTAGATCTGTTACATTACTTTCCAACTTACATAACTCTCATTAGAAAAATTTATGAACTGGAATGATTACAAAGACACCATATTCTAAACCATCTCTACTTTTAATTGCCAAACAGAAGAAAAAATATATTTCAGTGCTACAATAGAGCTGTACTTCTGTGCATGTGTTTTTTTGTTAGAATTTAAATAGAGGTTGCTCCTGAAGCCAGGGGATGGGACGAGAGGAAAATGGACCATTCAGTGCAATTTAGCTGCAAACCTGAAGCATTGCTTTAATTTTATAACTGTGTCAGACCCACCAGGCTAATATTGCTGTTTGTTCTCCTCACCAGACTCCCACTCTCACATCCCTGTGCCTGATTTGAAGTGACAGTGAGCAGAAGCATAAGGTATCTCTCATTCTGTTTGGACTCCTTGTTTACAGAAGAGTGATGGAGATGCTATTAAGCTCAAAAGGCATCACCATATGCCTGTTTTTCTTTGTATTGAGTTTGGCAGCAGCTATTGAAATACCATTATCAGGTGAGTTGTAGTTATTTGCTGTGCACTTTGCTGGTTTTGTTTGGTATTCCTTTGCCGCTATCCCTGAAGGAAAAATACTAAATCCTCCTTTCCAGTTGTGTTCCATTTGGAATTTAATCTTGCCACAATATGGCCTTTGGGAAATTCAGCTCTGATCAAAAGCTAAACTGTCCTGTTTGGGCCTGCTTAAATGGAGCAGTAAAGTTGTCTAATAACATTTCTCTGGTGTTTGCCATCCAACACAACACTTAGCTCCGAGGGTTTGGGTTTGTCCTTCACTTCAATTCCTTCTTTTGGCTCGGAATCCCCCTGAAGCTTGTTTGATGTGCATAAATCCCTCCTTCCTTGCTGTGCAAGCTGCCATTCCAGCCTGGGGAAGGAGCAGGTGGATGTCTCAGGGCCAGTGTTGGTCCCCAGAGGAGGATTTCACACTCTGTGCCCTGCTCTGGGGAGCAGCTCCTGCGTCCCTCACCGGCTGGGATGAATTCAAACTGCTTGTTTTACATGGATCATGAGCTTCCAGGACATGTGTAAAATATGGCATGAGGCTCACAGGGAGCAATCCAAGGAAAGCCAGAGGACCCCTCTTCCTGGAGTACAGCCCAGACCTCCCCAGCTTTGCATTTTTCAGTCATAAATGGACAGGAGGGTGTAAAACTGCGTTTTACTTTGTTATTTTGGTTGCAAAAAACCAAAAAAAAAAACCCCAAAAAGCAAAACTAAACAATATTAGGATTTATTAATTATGGTGGGGAAAAATAAAGTAATCTTAAGGAAGAATAAATTTAGGCTCTTTTCAGGGTCTCAGAGTAGGACATGGGCCAGTTTCAGGGCATCCTGTGGATCTGCCATGCCAATAGCCCTGGCTGCTAAGAGAAAGCCAACCAAGCAGGTTTATAGGATATTTTTGTAAAACTATCCAAATTTGCATTGGGAAGTAGAGGTTTTTGGAGATTCTTTTAGGAAGGAGCTGCAGTGGCTCCTTGTGTTTCAGTAAAGTCAAAATGGAGCTGTGACTGTAAAGTACAGGACAAACTCTCTGGGCATCCATTGCTTTTATGAACCTGCCCCAGGGAACCACCTAACCCTTAATTAGCTGTAATGAAGCATTTTATACTATAATAAAAAGTTATTTCTGATCAGTGGAGCTGGTGGGCTTGGAAGTGTTCAGCTTTGAGGCCATATGATATGACAAGACACTGATTTTCACTCCAGCTTTGAGCTCCCTGCACTTAAAGCAGCACACAAAGAGCATTTTAATTCTCTTCCTGGCTGTTTATAACAATGGGGTGATCCTATTATCCCAGCTCCACTGCAGGGAACATTCTCCTTCCTCTGTAACACAGGCTTTTGCAACACTTTAATTCCCTCAGAAAGACCCAGAAGTTGGTGCAGCCTCGGTGCGTGACCACGCAGCTGCACCCTGGGGCAGGCATTAAACCATCCTTGCAGTCCATGGCTTTTCTGGCAATTTTATCCAGGATGGAGGCAGCAGTTTGCTACTTCTTGTGTGTGCATCTGTGTCTGGATTAAATCCAGTTTCTGACTTCACTGTGAATAAATTTGCCAGGCCACAGCTCTGTGCTCTGGCTCTGGCTTTGGCGTGGTCGCAGCTCCCCTCTGCCCAGGGTGGGTTTGGAGGGGAATAAGGGTGGCCACTGTCCCTCTGCCAGGCCTTTTGTTGGCCATGGAGGCAGTGACAGTGACCAGAGGGCGATGTCCATGATCATCCCTTTCCCAAGGCAAGGCTCACTTTCTGCAGGAATAACGCAATATTACTGCATTGTCCCTCTCCACTCGAGGGCAGCCCAGTTTGGCTGGAACTCTGTTTTAACCCAATTCTTTGTGCTCAGTTTCCCAGCTTCCAACAATCACAGAGCAATCCCACACCCAGGTTGCCTACCCCTTTGATGAGGATTTCACCATTAAATGTGAAGCCAGAGGAAACCCCCAGCCCACGTGAGTACTGCTTGGAGAAGCAAACAGAAGCTGGGTTTGCTTTTAACCTTTGCCAAACATTGCTGTGTCTGTCAGGAGCTGCTGCACAAAAACCTGCTCATCATCCTCAGCAGTGTTAAGATTTGGCTTTCCATTCAGGCCATTCAGCTTTTGTTGCTCCATCACTTCCCCTCACCCTGTGAATAGGTATCAACATGCTTTTCCTTGCTGGGGGATGTTTGATTTCTCTGGCACGTGCCAAATTCACCCCCCAGTTTTAAAAAACCCTTGTCTGGGTTGTGCTGCAAAAGATGGGCTGTGTCATGGTAATCAGAGGGGCCCAGCTGTTCCTCTGCCTCTTCCACAGCAACCCTAAAAATCCCAACCACATTAAACTGTGTATTCAAACAGCAATTTGCATTTTATCAGATACCTTGTCCATACCTAACCTCAGCAGGGCCATGGTGATGGTACAGACAGACACAGAAAGAGTTATTCAGATAAATATCCAAAGATAAGCTCTGTGCATTTTACACCAGTGTGGAAAAAAGAAAGATTTTTAATGAAAATGTGACAAACAAGAGTGTAATAATAACAGAGTAAAAACTCTTCCTGAGGCTTTCACCCCTGAATGGTGTTTGGGCTAAATTAATAGCTGGTTTGAATGTCATTTTTTCTTTTTAATCCTTCCCTTCTCCTTTCTTTGCAATACAATTTAAACTTTAAAAGGCATTCTTTTATTTAGATCAAGACGATTTGGGTAATTTTTAATTGAGCTCTGAATGGGGATTTGTAGCATGATCATAAATTCCCTTTGTTCCACTGTTTGCCAGTGCATCAGTTGATTTAAATGATGTGGTAGTGCCTGTTAGGTGAGGGGATCCCATAATCCCTCCATCCTGGAGCAAGGATTCCATATTCCCTCCATCATGGAGGATCCCATATTCCCTCCATCCTGGAGCAGGGATCCCATATTCCCTCCATCCTGGAGCAAGGCATTTTTGCCAAGACCATTGAAGTGCCAAAACAGTGGTTTCATTGTTAATTATTTATTCTCTTAAAACCAAAAAGAAAGGCGCATCTGCCACTAAATTGGTGTTATTGCAATTTCCAGCTGTCTGATTTCGAATCAGTTTAGGCCAATTTCAATCCAGAATTGCAGGCACAGGAACAGCATTTATCAAAATCACCCCCCAGCACCATCACAACTACAAATGGATCTGTGGCAAGGAGAACCTCAATAGAATCATCTCATTTTCTTCTGATTCAGCCCTGGTGGAGGATGGGAAAGCTCTTGTGGATCTTTGCCATTCCAAAGCAGCAATTCCACTACAGGGACAGCCTTTGCCAGCCTGCAGGTGCTGTGGGTGTGTGTCTTTCCCAGCTGCCCTGTCTGTCCCTGTCCTTGCAGAGCTCTGTGCTCATGGCACAGCCAAGAAAGGCAGAGTGTGGAAGGAGGGATGTGCCCAAGCACGAGGCAGAGGGGCACAGGGGGCACTCTGCCATTCAGTTCTCTCCTCTTCCATCCAGCTTTTCCTTTTATTTTGATAAAACCCTCTTGGCCCCATATTTACCCCTCATTAATACCAAAATGCTGTCCTGGGGCCTGCCCACTGTAACAGTCCTTTTCTTTTTCAGCTTTAACTGGACAAAGGATGGAAAACCATTTGATTTATCATCTGACCCCAGGATAGTCACAACTAACAACTCTGGAACTTTTGTGATCCAAAACCGGGGAATCATCAACAATTTCCAAGGGAAATATCGCTGCTTTGCTTCCAACGTGCTGGGAACTGCCATGTCAGAGGAAATTGAGCTGATTGTTCCAAGTAAGCTCTTCATTTCTGGTTTGAATTTGTAATTATTACTTTTATTATTAAGATGAGAACTGTCTTTCCTCAAAATAAATGGGAAAGAACCAGCTCACATGGCAAAAAATGAGTTGTTTGTTATTCAGTGAACATTCAGAGAAAAAAGTGGTATTTTCTTCTTGGAATAATTTAATTAAATTCCTGGTTTTGAGGACAGAAACTGAATCTGGATGTAGGATTTCAGACCACTGAACTATCAACTCCCACAGGTTATTACTGCAAAATAGCAACGGATGCAAATGTTTGAAAACTCCAGGGGAAGTGATTTGATCAGCTGTGAGTTCATTAATCTGATGTCAGCAGCATTCAAGGTCTGGGATAAATACTGATGGGGAGAAAAATAAAGCCCTGGAACTGAAATAGAAAACAAGCTTAAAAATAAAGCAGGGAAAATTACTGATCCTAGAAGTTTGTGCTTTATTAGCACAGAGGAAGGGCAGAGAGGGAAATGAGGGATTAAGGACCAGGTTTGTAGAAGTGGCATGAAATTTATGGATAGAATCAAAGAATTATTAAGGTTGGCAAAAAGCTCTTAAAATCAGAGTCCAACACTTAAGCCAGCCCAGCCAGGTTCAGTATTTAACTGTATTCCAAAGCTGAAATAACTGGTTTGTACCAATCCATTTGATCACCTGTAGCTTGAAATATGAGCACACACTTTGGTTCTAAATTCAGGATTGAAACATAGGAAATGAGAAGAGGAAAATCAGAAGCAGAATCTACCCAGAGGGAGTAGAAAGGACAAGAAACTCCTCCAGCTCCATGATGGAGCAGGGTGGGAACCTGAAGCAGGTTTTATGATGCAGTTCAGTGGCAGGCATGGAGAAAAGCACCAGTGCAGTGGATTTTTTCAGAGATCCTGCATTTCCAAGCTCCCTCAGTATTTTGTTATGAAATGTCTGACAGCTCCATGCTCAGGTGGAATCCTGAAGCAGGTTTTATGATGCAGTTCAGTGGCAGGCATGGAGAAAAGCACCAGTGCAGTGGATTTTTTCAGAGATCCTGCATTTCCAAGCTCCCTCAGTATTTTGTTATGAAATGTCTGACAGCTCCATGCTCAGGTGGAATCCATGTGGCAGGGGATGCATCCACAGCCTTCTCAGCCCCACAGTGACAGGAGGTGGCTGCTTTTGTACAGAAAACACTCCTGGCAGATGAAATGGGCTCTGAGAAACATGAATAAACATTTTTGTCCTGTCATCAGCATAGGAAATAATCCTGAGAAGCATTCCAGGAACAGCCAGGGCTGGGAGAGTCCTGGTGCTGTGGGCACATTGGAACCAAGACATTGCAAGGGCTGGGAGGGTTCCTGGGAGGGAGGAAGCAGCTGAGGCTGCCGTGTAAATGTATTTTATGAGTGCTCCTCATAAAGACACATTTATTTTCCTTCCATCCAGCTTTATGGATTTATTTTTCCTTGGGAAATCTATTTTTTGTTGCAATGTGCCACACAGCAATCCCTGATGCCAGGGCTTGATGTTGGGTGAGGAATTTGCAGCATTCCAGGTGCTGCTCTGTGGGTTAGTCTCCACCACCTTGCAGCTGTTTTAGGGAAGAGCTTTCCAGGGCAGAGGAGAATTGCAGAAAGCTTTAGGACAGTTAGCTGAGGTTTATTGAACTGTTGACAGAGTAGGATGGGCAGCGGATGGCAGCTGGAGTTTCAGGCAGGGACAGGAGAGTGATGCAGTCAAACTTCAGACGCAGTTTTTGACTTTGGAGTCAGTGAGGTAAAACAACTTCTCTTAAGCAAAATATCTCAAACTCCTTACATTTGAGAGGAGTTAAAGTGTCATTTTTGTACCTCCAGCAGCAGAATATTCTGGTATTCCATTGCTACTGAACTAAAAAAGATGGAAAAGAAGGAGTTGATGTCTGTATTTAGGATTATTGAGTCTGTATTCAGAGAGGAGATTTTTGCTTTTAATGAAGAACAGTCTGGAGTAGCTTAAGTAGATATTAAATATATTGGGAGTGGATGGCAACAAATTTATGGAGAGGTTACAAACATGGTTGTTATCAAAAGCAAGAGGAATTTTAGTGCTAATATATGCAAATTCCTAAACCCAGCAAAAAGAAATACATGGTACAGATAATGTATTAGAGGGATTTACCCAACTCACACATCTTTTGAAGCACATTTGCTGTTATTAGAACTCTTCTGCCATCAGTTCTTTCATTTACTGGCTCAATGTAAAAGCTGCAAATTAAATGAGGATTCAGAGAGGAGTAGAAGGCACCTTTGATTTTCTAAAGTGCTCTACAACTGTGCCCCAGTGAAAGAGCTGCTGGTGCACAGATCCTCTGTAAATCAGAACCTGCCAGGGAGGGGCTGGGGATAAATCACCTCTATTCACCCCCAGGTTTTGGAGCACAGGCTGGTACATGTGAGATCACTCCCTGCATTCATGATGATGATGCAGAGGTGGCAGAGCTGTGCCAGCTGCATTCAGGGCAGATGTAAAGCTCCTTGGCAAAGTCACCGTGCCAGGGAAGGGAAGAAAACCCCAGCGAGGCAGAGCAGGGCAGCTTCTTTCATAAATTACATTTCCACTGCAGAAGCAGAATACTGGGTCTGTGAGGCTGCTGCTGAAAAGGAGAACAAAAGGGTGTTTACTCACAGTAGTCATTCCAGGGAAGCAATAGAAATGTCAGCAGAAATGATCATTAAATCTCACCTACATAATGAAAATACCCCACCTCCCCTATGTAGGATGACATTAAGGAGAGGGGGAAGAATGGGCTCTGAGGATCTCGATGTGTTTGCAGCACTAACAAAGGCCAGATTGTTACAAGATACATTCAGCATGAAAATGAATTTAAATGGTGAGAACACAGACTTCAGCTCCCCTCCTCCAGCATTTCGGGAATCTGCTGCTTGAATTAGTGAGCAGGCCCAATGCCAGAGGAAGGAGAAGAAGTACACTTTAAACTTCTTTAATTAACTGTGCTGTGAAAGACTCTTCACGGCAGACTGAGTTAAGATTTATGCTTGGTATTTCTAAAGCTGCTGCTCCAAAAGACCAGAGACCTGAGGATGGAAAAATTGGCTGAATGTAAAATTATCCTGTGGCAGGCTGTGCTCTGATGTGATGTTAGAGCAAGAATTCCCAAAGAAACCAGACCTGAGTTAATATTCAAACACTCAGGTGTGAATATCCTGAAATCAGTACAAGATGCTGAGCTGATATTGAAGGAGGAGGTTTTGTGAAGGCTTTGGTGTAGCTTTTATGGAAGAGAAGACAAAAGAGAGCAATTCACTGAGACTTTGCAGGTGATGGAGGTGAAATTTAACCCTTTTGCCTCCTAAGCCAGTGACCTTCCCCTATGGCCACCTAAATCATGGAGCTTGCTCTGATTCCTGCCTGTGGCCATCATTTTGAAAAGGATAACAGAGATTACACAGAAAAAAGCTGTCACTGATTCCATTCCACATCTTCAGGAGTGAGTGGACTCCCAGCCAGGCTCTCCCTGACAGCCAGGCTTTGCTAACTTTTTCAATTTAAGGCAGCAATTAAAAAATCCATAAACAAGCAGGGTCGTATCTCATAACCAGTTCAAAGGCTGCAATGGAAAAATGGAAATTACAGATTTAACTACTGCTCCTGCTCCATGGATCAGAATATCGATTGAGGCACAGAGATGAGCCCTGGAAACCTCCCAAGCTTCACTCAGTGCAGCTCAACATCAGGGACTGCCAGTCATGGTTCAGATTCCTTAAAATGTTGGGTTGTTTGCTGTACAGGATACAGATCTGTATGAAAAATCATAATTAGATACTAATTTAATTGTCTAAGGAGCTGGAAATTTCGAGACTATAGAAAATTCTTGACTATTTCTGCTTGGCCTCATTTTTACATCCTTTAAGGGTTTATTTGCAAGGAAAACTATGAGACTATCCATGATGGATCAGGCTAAACTCTCCTTTATCCTAGGATATCTTCAGTAGAATCCACAGGGAAGGTTATAAAATGAGACCTGGGCTACAGTGATGCTTTTCTACAATAATTTCACAATGTATTTGCTAATTGCTGATTTATCATCCTGAATTCACTCCCATTTTACACCTGATATTAGTAGAAATACCACACAGGGATCTCAAGGACAAGTTAGTGGAGAAATGCTTTTCCTTTGTTCCATTTCTCAACACTTTACCCCGAAACATGAAAAATACCTGATGAAATGGATTCCATTCTCACATAAACTGGAATAAATTGCCATAATTGATACAGTTTTAGTGTGAAGTCACTGTAATCAGCAGCAGGGCAAAAATTGAGCTGTAGGACAAAAACTGAGCTGTAGGACAAGGCGTCCTAAATGGATCCATGAGTAAATGTGGAGCAATGCTGGGGACTGGAGTTCCCAGTTCTGCTTGCTCTATTTCTGAATCTCTATTTCTGCTAAACTCAAATTAAGCCTTTCTGTTGCACTGTATTGGTTTCCCTCCTATTTGCTTTAGGTTGAGAAACTGCATTTTCTGAAGGGATAAGAGGGAGAGACTCAGGCTTCTTTCTGGATTTTTTCCCAGCCCCCCAAATGTGGTGCTCCAGCCTGGTCTCAAGCTCAGCTCAGTCACTGAACTTTGAGTCACCCCAGGGATTAAACAGATCCTGGCTCCTTGCACAAATGGCTCTGGCCACTGATAATCTTCTGTTTGCATGGTTCACACACTGTCAGAGCACTTCAGTTCTGGTTTTTGAGTGCAGCCTTGTCAGGAAAAACCCTTGGTCAGCAAAGCCTTTCCCAGGGGTATTTGAAGAGGTGTCATGGTGGGATTTTGGGAGATTCTCCATAGCTGGAGTTGGGAGTGCAGGTTTCCATCCTCCCCATGACTGTTCCACTCACACCCCATGATTTGTGCGTGGTGAGAGCCCTGCTGGGGCTTCCTCAGAGTCACCAAATCGCACTGCTCTCCCTCTGTCCCCTCCCATCACATCCCTGTGTGGGGATTCCATGGAATATTGATGGAGCAGTGTCACTGCTGTCACTGCAGAGACATCAGCTGGAATTCTGTGCTGCACTGAGAACTCTGTTCAATATCAAACACTTCCATGGCACAATTTATTTTGTGTTTATTTTATTAGGCTGTGGAGTTGAACTCAGCTGTGATACTTTCTGTGATCAACCACAAATCAGTGGTGATTGATTCTGGACTATCCTCTAATTAGAACATAGGAGCCCTGAAAAAATATCCAAAATATTGCCTGCATAGACATTCTGAAGATTGATGTGCAAAAGGCAAAGTCTAATGTGACAGAAGCTTTTTATTTTTAATAAATTGAATTCAGAAGAAGGTATTTTTTTCTAGTCTTTGAGACCAGTGGGACCCCAGCAAAAAAATTATGCTTGTCAGAGGGTTTGGCTCAGGAATTTATCATGAGCTTTCATTTCTTGCAAAGCTTCAAGGATTAAACCATTCGAATTTATCGTTATGAGGATGAAAATCAAAGTTTTTCCGTGCTTTTCATGGTGAACTGAGCCAAAAAAAAAGGCATGGAAGGACCTGTGGTGCAAATACTTGTTGGAGGTGGAGGACATTTGGGGTCAAATTGCTGCTTCCCCCAGTGAAGTCCAGCTGCCAACATCTGGAGATGAATGTCTGTGCTGCCAGCTAATGACACCAGGACTGTGACTTGTCACTGTCTCCTGGTGGGACTCAGTAAATTTCTGTATAATTCTGTAATTACTGGCCACAGAAATTCACTGAGAAGCCCAGTGGTTATGGCACCCAGCTGGGATATCAGAAACCCAGATTCTGTTCTGCTAAATGAGGCAAAAAATGAGTTTGAACAAGGGGTTCCAATGTCCTAAATAAGTGGTGCCATATTAGTCCATTTGCTGATCCATTGGTTTGGTCAGAAATCCCTTTATCCTTCCCTGACCCAGCTTATTGAAATTTGTGTTGGGAGTGACGTGCTTTGGGGAATAAATAAGCTTTAGATCACGAAATTGGCTTTTTCCTGCTGGAAAATATTCCACCTCTTCAGTCAGCAGATGTATTTCCTAGGGCTTGAAGAGTGCAGGTTGCTGAAGGTACTGGATATGAATATGCAGCTCTTTTTTTTACCTGAAATTTCACCTACAGAGTGGGTGATGCTCATCAGCTGCATTTTGCCTCTCCTAAGAATTCCTAACCTATTAATAACCCTGCTGGAGATAAAATCTCTGCAGAGTCTGCATTCAGCACTAGAGTGATTGCTTCTTTTCATGTTTACTAATCCTGAGATGTGTGAGGTGTCCTCAGAGTCCCATCCCTGCATTTCTCCCCCTCTCCCTTTCTTTGCCGCCTGCACTGGGATGTTGCAGGTTCCCTGCTGGACCACTGATGTCTCAAGTTGTGGAGCTCTCAAAGCTCCCTGTCATGACAGGGAGGTGATGTTGGCTGTGCCAGTTTGACTCTGCACACCCAGGACCTTCTCCATCCTTTGCTGCTTCATTTCATTTAATTAAGCTGCTCATTTTGCTGCTTGATGCTGGTCTGAAGTGAAACTTTGGCCAGTTGGAACTTGCCTGAAATGAAAGCAGGAGGAGACGTCAGCCCTGAAACTGCCTCAGCTCAGTTCCTTCAAGGGTGGTTCCATCTTGCAGGCTGCTTTTTCTGGGATCACCTCCAAGCTGAGCCTCCTTTGGTTTGGGGTGGGCTCCAACCCAGCTTTGCTCCTCATTTTCCCACATCAGCTCCAGTGGCGTTTTGGGCATCCAGATTTGCCCAGGTGTGCCAGGCTTGGAACAAAATGCTGGCATCAGGTGCTGTGGGTGGTGAAACACTGATGCATGAACAATTTATCCTGTGTTTGAGCCCAGCTGGAGCAGCCCTGGTACAGCCCTGTGAGCTTTGTGCCAAGCCTATCCCTGCAGCCCTGCAGGAATCCAGGCTGAGCTTCCAGGCCTGAGGAGGCAACAGAGGCTTCGGAGCAGTCTTCCTCTGACCCTGGAGATGGAGGAGAGCTGGGACAGGAGCCTGATGCTTGTCCTCACCTGCAAGGACTTGCAGGGGGTCCTTAGGAACCATGTTTGATCCAAGGCTTCTCAGAATGTTCCACATTCCCAGGCTGGTTCCTGATCTCCTGGTGATGCCCTGTGCAGGCTGCCCTGGAACAGAGGTTTGGCAGAGTCACAGAATAAAGCTGGGATTTATTCAAAGCATCTCCTCCATGGATCCACCATGGGCAGCACAAGAGCCCAGCCAGGGCTGCACCCAAGATGAACCAAAATGGCCCCAAAATGCACGGCCGGGCACAGGGTCTGTCCCTGGGATCAGTTCTGCTCCATTTGCACCTTGCAGTTCATTGTCCCATTCCAGCTTTAGCCCAGGCAGTCCCACCCTGCTTGTTTTTCTCTCTCCAGCCCACGGTGTTTTTGCTCCTGGGCTGAGATTCGGATCATTTGTCCTTGGTGCCCAGCTGGAGCAGGAATTGTTTTGTCTCCCTGCTCTGTGCACAGAGCTCACCGTGCCCTGATATGGAGCTCAGAACTGCACACTAAAGCAGCACAGAATCTGAAAAATACAAAATCTAAACCTGAAGCATCACTGGGACCAGCTGGGGCCCCACCAGTGCACAGCCCTCGGTGCCAGGCTTGTCCTTAGGGACCCTCTGGCCTTGAGTGGTCCCTTCCAGACAGCACAAAGGAGCTAAAGAAAGTGTTTGAAAAGAATTGTGTTAAAGTAAAGCCAAAGCAAAGCACAGGACATCACAAGCAAGTGTTAAACATCTCCATTCAGTGCCTGGCTTTGGATAGGATGCTCCAAGAACTTTGTGAATGAAGAGAATCCTATTGTGAGTGTTCCAGAACTCAGGGATTTCCTACTCTGAGTAAAACTCATTATTTCTCTGTGCCTCTGTGTAAATTAAAATTGGTATTAAAGGCAGAGAATGCAAAGGATGATGTAAAGGTCAATATTTTATTAAAAATGTATCAAGAAGAAAGCAAAAGGCAAAATTTCAAAAGGTACCAATAATAGAGGAGCCTCTTTGAATAATAAAGGAACTTCTTTGCTTTTTTTGTGCAGGTGTACCAAAATTCCCCAAAGAGAAAATCGAGCCTCTGGATGTGGAGCATGGAGATTCTGTGATCCTGCACTGCAACCCCCCAAAAGGCATCCCCCCTTTGCATATCTACTGGATGAATATTGGTGAGTAAATGGTTTTTGCACAATTCATACAAAGGGACTCAAAGCATTTGTCTTTCAGAGCAGCTTCATTGCAGATTTGTCATGGGTAGGAATTGTAATTGTGCAAGTGCTTGGGAGAAATATCTGGATATTGAAGAACAAAATTAAAAAATGGAGAGTAGAGATCTGGTTTGACATGACCCAAAGTTAAATTGTTGAGTGCGTTGACACAGCATCTCATTAAATATGAGATATCAAATAATTTATATATTGCTGAGTCTGTCAGTGATGAGGAGTCCTGCATTTAGAGGAAAGAGGATATTACATGTCAATATGTTATTTCTATCATTATTGCTTTCCTCTTTCCATAAATTGATGATTGATTTATGATACTAAGGGAAAAATAATCCACCAGGTTTATATGATTAGCTCCTGGTGGGTTGCTGTCCTATTATTCTGCAGCATTTTTGTTCTGCAGGAATTTCTGGCTTTTTGAAAGCAAAATAACTCTGGTTTTTAATTCTCAATTTTTCCTTATCAGTTATATAGGTATACATTATTATATAAAAATATTTTTAATCACTTTTATACTGAATATTGGTAAATAACCTATTTGCTCTGCTGGATTTTCTGCCTCTTTTACTTCAGAGTTTCATTCTCTGTATCTGGAAGGCAGCACACGAGGGGACCATTTGGTGAAACAGCCCTGTGTTGTTCCCACCTTATCATTTGCTGCTAGAAATGATGGGATGAGACTATTTTCAGGCTAAGAACAATTTATTACTCAGATAAACATCAGTCTCAGAGGCTGAGAGGTTTTAGAGGAGCAAGAACTTGGCCATAGCTCAGGGAAGTCACATGTTCTTTGTTACAAGGCAGTGCAGAACTTTCTAACCCAATGGACAGTTGCCACAGGGTTTATTTTGCTTTTCTGACCTATTCCATTTACTTAATTTTGCTGCACTGTGGATACTTTTATCCAATGGGCTTCTGTCTCACATGCACACATATACTTCTATTATAACTTCTAAACTCTTAGTTTATTCCATACAACCCCAGCCCTACATTATAAACCCTTCACCATCTTATCAGTACAGTTTCTCACTTACTTAAGCCATATTCACATCTACAGCTATAGAAATATAAGTTTATGATTTTTCTGCTTAATGTCTATTTTTACATCAATCCAAGCATCTCTCAAGGCTGCAGATCAAACCCTTCAGTGTCTGTGCAAGTTTCTGTGTTTCCAGTTCCCACACCACCTCACTATTACTTTCCCTTGCCAGATTTGCAGCACATCCCACAGGATGAGAGGGTCTCCATGAGCCTGAAGGGAGATCTCTACTTTGCCAACGTGGAGGAGAGTGACAGCAGGAGTGACTATTGCTGCTTTGCAGCCTTCCCCAGGCTCAGGACCATCGTGCAGAAGATGCCCATGACTCTCAAGGTTTCCCGCTGTGAGTGTGGGGCTGGGCTCTCTGTTTGCTGCTGCTTTCTGAGCTCCCCAGGCAGCACTGCATGGAGATGTGTGGCTCTCTCAACACAGGGCACCTTGCTGAGTTTATTTCCTGCATTATTAACCTCGTTCTTGGGGCTAAATTTCACTGGGAAAAGCTTCTTGCTCCAGTCTGTGTTCTATGTGGCCATCCCAAGGCATCAGTTTCTCCTGTCCCATCTGGGTCACCAGAACCGATGCCTTGGAGGGGCTGCCTAGAACAGAGGCTGGACAAAATTAAGAGAGTAAAATGGGTATTTATTAAAGGCCTTTGATAGGCACACCTTGGGCAATAAGGAGCCTCCCAGAGGCTACACTCAAGTTGGACAATGGCCACGAGTTTTTCAGACAATTATAGGTTTGGTCCATTTACATATCAGGGGTTAATCCTACAATTTCAGCTTCAGGTAATGAAGTAATTTACTCCAAATTTGACCTCCAAGTTCACAGTTGTTTACATCTCTCAGGGACTGAGGTGTCCTCGATTCCCAGGCCTGGAGAGGAATTGTTGTGTCTGCCCAAAGTGTGAAGACAGTAGCTGACACTCTACATGGAGTTCAGAGTTATACACCAAAGCAGTATAGGATTTGAAACATTTAAAAGCTAAAATCCTAAGGCATCACAGTCAGACCCCAAAAGTGCCCTGTCCTTCCTCCTGCTGTCCCACAGTGAAAGCCGAGGGTGCATTAGGGAAATCTGCTGCTCTTGAGCCCAGCAGGTCCCCCCGGAATGGGACTTCACTGGATTTTTGTTTTGAGGACTTTGTGGCTGCCTCTGCCCTGGGCAAGGCCTGGTTTGGTCCAGCCTCAGCAGTGAGGTTGCAAGGTTGATGTTTTCCAGGTTTTTCCAGGCAGCTTGGAGCATCAGAAGCACAAGAGGTGTTTCCAGTTCCTTGATGAAGTGATGTGTAGGGAATTTAAGGTTTCACTTGTTCATTGTGGATCTTTCAGACTTACACAGCCCAGAAAGCCAAGGAGAATTTTGTCTTCATGAACTAAACCCTCATGTTTAATATGTGATTTTTGAGAGTTTTCTTGTTGGGATAAAAAGAAAAAGGATTAATAGTGGCTTTATGTGTTTAATGCTTGCTTAGACTGTATCTTGGGGTAATAATTGTGAGAAAAACATTGAAATTAAATGTTGCTCTCCATGGCTTTTCAAAGGGGTTCAGTCCCTCATACATGCATGCAGAGATTAGAGAAAAACAAGATGGGTTTTGGCTGCTGGTAGCCCTGGAAGTGGCCCAAAAAGCCACTTCAGTATGTCCATCTTGTCATCAAAGCCACAGGACTTGGGCCAGGAAAAGATGAGAGGCACGAACTGAAAGGGTTCTGTAAACTCAGCTTGACATTGCCCACTCCTCCCTGTGCCAAGGGCCTGGTGAGGGGCTGCATGAAAAATAAATAGGACGAAAATAAGCAATAAGAAACAGGAGAATGAATAACATTTTATACCATTTCTCTTTCTGGATAGTTAGTGATTTTTATTACTGTAGATAGCAAGGATGAAATGCCTATTACATCATCCATTAAGTATTTTTCAGAATAACACAAATCTTTAAATCATTTTCATTGTATTTTCAAAACTCAGTTGCTCATCTGTTGCTTTCTTTTATATTTTTCATTGTTTCTTTCTTTTGGGGCAGAAATTGGGGGGTGGGGAGGGGCATGGTTTTGTTTTGGTTGATTTATGGTTTCTTTTGATTCTGTCTCAACCCTGCATGTTTGTTTGGTTGTCATTTTTATTTATTTCAGTAAAGCATGCTAATGACTCAGGCTCACCTAACGCTGCTGTTACTAAGGGTGAGTTGAATCCATCTGTTTTTAGCCTTTGAACTGAGACTCCACCAGCTGAGGTGAAATGGGAGCTGCTCAAAAAACACATCACAAAAGCCTCTTGATTGTGATGGGGTGGATTTAAGCAGTCCAGGGAGCACAATTGGCTCATCTTGTAGCTTCTGAGAGCAATCTGCAGGGCTTTTAATGAAAAAGGCAGGGGTTTTAACTTGAGAAAGGAGCTTTGTAAGGGGGGTGGAAGTGAGGACATTGATGTTCAGGGTTTCTCATGTTATCAATTCAGAGCAGGAGCCAGAGCTGGATGCTCCAAATCTTTTTCTGGCTGTTCAAAGAGCTCTGGGATGAGACAACCAAGGTTTGACACCGTGAATTCATGTCCCAGGGGTCAGCCTGGGGCTGCATTGCTCCAGGATGAGCTCAGGGTGTGGATTTATGGAGTCTGGGTGCCCTGTGGTGGCTGTCCCCATCACCTCCATCTAGACAGGAGCTGGCTCTGTCTCTGTGGTGCCCTGTGTGCCACCAGCACAGGTGACACTGCAGCAAACCCTTCTCATCCTGTGCATTCCCACTCCCACTGCTCTGCCTGCCCCTCTCTGTGGAGCAGATCCTGGAAGTATCCTGCAGGCAGCAGGTGCCCATTCCTGCAATTCTCCGCTGGCTTCCTTTTGTTTCAAATACACGAAATTTAGACTCTGTAGCTCTTGACTCTTCATGTATTTGGTTAAATACCTTTTAAGAGTATTTTTTTCTTTTTAATGCCCAATTTCAACCTCCTATAGATTTTTTGCCAGACAAGCACTGAGGTTTCTGAAAAGGAGGTTATCCTGCAGTGTTTTGGGATGGATAACTCAGAGCAATTCTCCTCCTCCTACTTCTTTTTGGTTCAAATACATGAAATTTAGACTCTGTAGCTCTTGGCTCTTCATTTCTTTGGTTAAATCCTTTTAAGAGTCTTTTTTTTTATGCCAAATTTTAACCTCCTCTAGGAGATTTTTTTTTGCCAAGCAGTGAGGTTTCTGAAAAGGAGGTTATCCTGGAGTGTTTTGGGATGGATAACTCAGAGCTCTCCTCACTGCCCTGACTTTGCCCGTGGAGCTGAGCCCTGGAGCAGCACAGGCAGGGTTTGTGCACTGTGGCTGCCCACCAGGAGCAGTTTTTCCCTCCAAGGGATGTCTGAACTCGTGCTGGGAAGGAGCCTGGCTGCCTTTGGCAGCAGGAGGTGGAGGGCAGATGGGAAATGTGTGAGAGTGTCCAGAGGCACCAACGTGTCCTGCTGCACTCAGGGCACTTGTGACACAGATCTGCACAGAAACCAAGCAAGGGGAAATTAAAATTAAAAATGAGAAAATGGTTCAGGGAGATCTATGTGGTCTTTTACCAAACCATCCATAACTGGCTATTTTTTAAAGAACTAGCACCATTTGGGGACTGATTCATTAGTGTGCTAATTGTTATGATAGTGATAACTGGGCAGCCACTGAACCCTGCATTTTTCATCCTAAAACCCTTGTTTGGCAGGCTGGAACAAATGTGCTGTTGGAATCAAGTGCAGCTCAATCTTGTTTTATTATTTTTACAGTCTCCCTTACAAATTGTATCTCTATTATTGTAGATTTAATAATTGGAGCAGGAGGGACAATTCTGTGGGATGCTCAGGTCAGGAAAGGTGGGGTTTCACCTGAGGTTTAAAAGATGTTGGAGCCAGTGCAGAAGAAAGGTGCTAAGAAAGGAGATGTGAACCTAAAGATCAGGAATTGAGAGGATCAGAAGGGTGATAGGAAGGGCCAGTGCTTGGAAAACTGGATATAAAACTGTAGGAAAAGGGTTTTCCCAGCACTGCTGCCTGTTGATATCACTGCACCTCCCTTCTGACTGTTATCAGGGCTCTGGATTAGCCTCAGAGTAGATAAATAAAAAACCCACACACAAATGGCTGTCAAAAACCTGCCAGCAGTGATGTTTGTGGCATTATTGGAGAATATCTGAGATTTCCCACCTAACTTCTGTTTTATTTTATCTTTCAGCAAATTTTATCAAGGAAAGGAAGCCCAAACTGCTGATCCCTCCTGAATCTGCTGGCAGTAGCTCATCAGTCACTGTCATCAAGGGAGGTGTCCTGCTCCTCGAGTGCATTGCTGAAGGGCTGTGAGTAATGAAAATGCTGCACAAACTTAATCACCTTTGGAGGGAGAAATGAGCAAAGAAAAAGGGATATTGCAAATTATGCAACAGTTTTAAATGCAACTCCTGTGCAGAGCTTTCGGCACCTGTAAAGCAGCACAGAGTGCAGGCAACAGTAGTGTGTTGGTTATTGCTGTAGCTTGTAAACAAGTAATTAAAACCATGGTGTGGTAAGTATAGATTTATTTTTAGTTTTTCTATTTTAAAAACTGAATTTTTTTCAGTAGTGCTGCTTTTGAGATGTCAAGAAACTAAATAATATCAGGAACAGCTTCAGTAGTTCTGTTCACAACCTGTAATGGTTTTTTTTTTGTGGTTTTGTCAATTCAGTTTTGCTTCAATGCTCAAAATTGAAGATATTCCAGGTGTAAGATCTCAAATTTTTAAAAACAAAGTTCTTGAGTAGTGTAACACAAGACATCCTTTAAGCAATGAATACATTGAACAGTATCAGCTGTATTAGTGTGATCCTGATCAATCCAATCTCAAACCTCAAACCTTGGGCACTTCCAGGGATCCAGGGGCAGCTCCAGCTACTTCACAGGGAAGTAGCTGGAGGCTACTTTTTTAGGCTTTTTTTCCTAAAAGCCCCTCTAAATCCCCTCTAAACCTTCTCTCAATTTGAAGCCATTCCCCCTTGTCCTGTCCAAGCTTTTTTAAATAATCTCTCTCCACCTTGCTGAGTCCTTTCAGCAAGGGAAAACAGGGAAGGGTTAAAATAGCTGCTTTATGATGGGAAATCATGAAGGACAATTTTTGTGGGAAATAAATTTTTAGAGAAGTCTTAAAGACTTGTAGACAAGTTCTTGTCTTAAACTTGGAAAAAGTTCACATAGTATCTATTTTTATACAAATTTTGAGCAAAGAAATGCTGATTTAAAAATATTATAAAATAAGAGACACATTGTTGAGAGAGAAATGGAGCTAGAAATAAGTTTAAAAAGGTGATTTTGTAAATAAGACTAAATATTTTAGAGAAATAAAACTATGAAAGATGCATTGTAGTAGGACCTACAAAGGGTAATTTTAGATGATTAGCTTTAAAACATTTATAACATAATGTGCTAAAAACCAATAAGCTAAGAAACACTTATAATGTATCACTTAATCCAGCAAATTCCCTGTAAATAACACAGGCCAAAATGAGGGCAAATAAGGAAAGGGACTGGGAAATAAATATTGAGTTCCCTCCTGACAAGGAGCTGTGATTCCCTTCTCAGGGCTGCTGCTGCTGCTCCAGCTCACTCAGCCACGAGCCCTGCTTTGCTCTTCCCATGTCCCAGTTTGTGCCCTGTGCCTGTCACTGCAGAATTTGAGCTGCCAGCACAAAACCAGAGAATCTGTGCACCCCCTGAATCCCCAGTGAGAGCAGAGTCCCTCTGGTTTGGCTGGGCCAGGGCTTTGTGAGGAGCAGAGCTTTAAATCACCATCCCCTGTGCTGGACGTGGAGCTGCAGGCTCTGCTTCACACCCAGATAATTCCCATTAAAGGCTCTGCAATTCTCTTCCCTCCATAAAATTCCAAAGTCAGGATATTTATCTGCCTGCACATGTTTGGGGCATTTTGTTTTTTCCATATGGGCTTGAAAGGGCATTGCTGGTGGAAGCTGGCAGGGAGTGGAGTTGGCATTCCTGAAAGGAGGTGAATGACTTGTCTCTGTTGGATTCACTCCAGGTATCTGCAGTGAGTTTTGCTTTCCTGATGCAACGTTTCCTTGTCTAATTCACTCCCCACCAACCCCCAAAGCCACAGCTCTGATTTTAGAAGGTTTTCAAGGGGTTTTAATAGGGAAATCACCTTGGGAATAATCAAATATGAAATTTGATGTGCAAGCATGAGTATCTGATACAAGAAGAGAAAGCCAAAAAAGTCTTTCTGTCCCTTTGGAAAAAGGTAAAAAGAAAGAAATATTTTTGTTTCACTCTAAATTTTCCAGGAAACTCTTTAAAAATTAATTTTTTTAACAAAAAGGTGGCTTTTTAAAGCAGTCACTTTTGAAAGAACCCAAAGTACTTCTTTGTCTTATCACCAAGCACACCTTTTCATTGAAATCCTTCAAAAATGCCAACTCTTAGAATAAAACATTATTTTTCTTTGCTGAAATTCCCATTTTCAGCAGAAAAACGCTCAGCTTTGCCTACATCTCTACCAATCCCCCCTGCCAAATGTCCACAGACCATGGAAGTGGATTTCAAGGAACTCAGCTCAGGGGCACCCAACTGCAAAATAGGGAATTAGGGACATTTCCAATCTGTCACTTTTTAAAGATTTATACCCTGAGCAGTGGCAGCGTCAGGAGGGCATGGCCTGGGAGCTGGCTTTGGGACAAGAGTGGCATGAGGGCTCTGGGAGGGAATAATGGGGTATTTGCAGGGCTGGTGGAACAGCAGAATTTCTGGGTGCCTGGGCATGGAGCCACGGGCACAGATGGGCACAGGAGGAGCGGCTCTGGTGCTGTGTCTGTGTGTCCTGTGAGTGCTGGGGTCACCAAACATGTCTGTCCCCAATTCTGTGACACTTCTGGCTCTTTCTAAGGATGGGAAGAGCATTTCAGCCACCTGCAAAGCACTGCAGTGAAGTCTGGCTGTCCTCAGGTGCCCTTTTGGGGCGGGAGGGATGAGCTCCTTTCCCACTGTCCGTGCCAAGGCACATCCAAGGAATGCAGCTTTGCCCTGGTGAAAATCCCACTCACAGGGGTTGTGCAGAACAAGGAGCAGCAGAGCAGCTGTATAGTGTAACCCTTAGGTAGCCCCAGAGTTTTCAAAGCTTTAAAAGCTCAAAATCCCCTAAAAGCACCTCCCAAACCCTGGGTGTGAACAGCAGCTCTGCCACGTGAAGCATCACAACAGCTTCTTGCGTTCAACTCAAAATCTTCTTTTTCTTCCTTTGTTCTCAGCCCAACTCCTCATCTCAGCTGGGTCAAGGTGACAGGAAACATGCCCAAGGATGAGCCAGAGACAGAGAATTTTGGCAAGACCCTGAAGATTGACCAAGTGACAGCAGCTGATGAGGGGAAGTACGAGTGCACGGCCAGCAACCCCATGGGCAGCGCCAAGCACGAGTTCCACGTGCATGTGGAAGGTGCTCAGTACTCTTCACTAAAATTATCGGTTTGGGACTAAAAGGTGGGAAAAGGGAGGCGAAAGAGGATCTTTGTTAATATGACTCAAGCAACTGCACCAATTGATGCCAGCCTTTTGGATTTGGGAAGGTTTGCACAAAGTAGCACCTCTAAAACAAAATGTAAATAATGCCATTTGTTTTTTTCCCTTGAACCATGAAGGTGTTAAAAAGCAGGGAACAATATAAAAATGTGAGCAGGTTCAATAATCTAAAGATGGGAGGGAGTCAAGCAGAGATGTTGCTGAAATGTCTTGTACTAAGCTGAAGGTCAGAAGATCTGATTATTCTTTCTTCTCTTAAATACTGTGAAAATTATTATGTTGGGCTGGATCAGAGGGACATTTAGCTCAAGTCCCTTTCTTTGGTTTCCACCAAAAGTAGGTTCTTAGGGAGGTCTGTGAAAATTCAGTGAGTAGACAAGGTACCACCCCTTGCATCCTTCACTGTTCCCTTGCTGTGGTTTTTGTACAGGCACAACCTCAGTGGAGAGTGTTTTCTGGAATCCCTGAAAAGTATCACAAAACCTGTGAAACAATGTAAAAAAAAGATGCTTTCTACTATTTTTTAGCAGTTAAAAAATGGAAACATGATCCTTTTTGTCACCTCAGGGAGTACCCAAGGCTTCTTTTTCCCTTCTCCTCCTCCCCAAGCCCTGAGGTGTGCATCAGGTGGAGATGGCCTTTCCCTGGAGCCAGCAGAGCTCTGAGGAGTTGTTGCAGAATCAAGAACTCTCCCTTCCATTTTTTCTGCCCACAAATAACTACAAACTGAGAGCCCTGAGGCCCAGCTGAAAAACTTGCTGAAAAACATTTGCCTGATGAAAAACGCTCCAACCTCTGCTCAGCACTTAAAAAATAGAACAAACCCCTGGCAGTTTTACCCTGTTAACCTTCCAAGGGCTTCATTTTCAGCAGGGCTCCTCATCCCTCTGTGGTCACCAGATTTCTGGTGGGAGAGGAGCACTTTGAGCTCCCTGCTCTGTATTTTCTCCCAATGGCTGTTGAATCCTCTCCATTCCCCCAACCCAACATTGTCCCTTGCACTCCTCTTGCCCTTGTTGGGAGTGTGGCAGAGGAGGATCCCATTCTCAGCTGGGGTGGAAGGGAAGTGCTGACTCCTAGAAATCCTTCCAGATGGTTTGGAGCATCTCTGCTGTAGCAGAATATTTTAACAATCTGGCTATGATTTTCTCGGCTGCAAAAAAAAAAAAAAATTTATTTCCTTCAAAGAAATTGCAGGAGCTGCAAAAACTAAAACACCAGAGAAATAACATTAATTTTGCAGTTTAGAATGTTGACCTTCTTCTCCCACAGTTTGCAGAGGAAGGAAAACTTCCTGGCAAATTGTTATTTTTGCTTATTAACAAATAGGAATTTAGAAAAAGAGAAAAGAAGGAAATAATCCCACTCCAGCCATTGCAATGTAAAAAAATCCTTTTCCAATTGGTATTAAATCCATTTGTGTAATTAAAGGTGGCTCCTGTCAGCAGCAGGGATTCTTCCTATCAGAAGTCACCTCACATGCAAGGCATCAAGGTAAACCTGAGCCCCAGCCCTGCTGTGTTCTGCGATTGCTGAGCAGCAAAGGTGGCTGTCGTCAATCAGAGATGGACACGTTCATCACTCCTGCAGCAGCTCCTGTGAGCACACTCAAGGGCACATCCTGAGCATTCATTTCAGGAGGCTTCAGGGAGCTGCTGCTGCTCTTGGGCTCCTCACACCTGACAGGTTCCTCTCACAGGATGCATGCAGGGAGAAGAAAATTAAATATGGAAGAAAAATTAATGTGTTATTAACCTGCAGCCATCCTCAGTGGAGTGCTGGGGTGTAAATCAGGATTTTTCTGTCGCTGTGCCATGTTTTCTGCTCTACTTTCTGGTATTTGAGGATCTCAAACCAGCCCACCCTTCTAAATACCAGTTTTAATGATATTTGCATGCAGCCCACTTCCTAATCCTACCGAGTCTGAGGGCAAAGATTCAGGCAATCATTACCAAGCATGTGAAAATATTCAGCAAGCAAATTGTTTGACTGTTTGAGCATTTTAATCTCTCTTTGCAAGGGAGGATGTAGCCTGGAATACCTGAGCAGACACAAAAACCCCACTGTTGTTATTAAAATGAGAATTATTTTTAAAAAAAACAGCAAAGCAAGCCCACAAATTGTTTTGACTTCAGGTGTTTATTTGGTTGTGGTTTGTAGTTCACCAAACCCAACAGAAAATGAACATATAACCTGCAACTCTTGCAGGATCATAATGATCTAAAGTTGCTTTGATCTTGACTGAGGCTTCTAGGTGGGGTTTAATAGAAATAATTGTTACAATATAATGATTAATTATAGTAATAATGTAATAGCTAAGGGCCTTTGCAGTTACGTCTCGTAATACTTTTATTACTCAGCCAGAGCAAAAGAAAAGAGATTAAATTAATGGGAAGCAGAAGCAGAACAGGGTATTTTAATCGGGCTCAAGCTTTCTGTTTCACTGGAAAATTGCTCCAACAGGGATGCAGAGCCCAAGGTGGCAACAGCAGCTGCTGCTGGCCCTGGGGTGGGATGGATTCCCAGCCTTTGGGAGGAGAATTTGAAGTGACAAATTGGGAAAGTGGTATGGGATAGAAAGGATGGGTTTGGTAAGCGCAGAGCAATTCTCACCAGGCAGCCCTGACTGGCCTCATCAGCACAGCTGGGAAATGCCTGCTTGGGAGAACTGGGAGAATCCTCTGCATGGCAGGAGGAACATCTCTGGGAAGTGTTGGTCTGGCAGAAAAGGCAAAAATCATCCTGGAAGACAGAAGGAAAAGTATTGTTGTAAGAGACTGCTGGGAACTGAGATGGTCTCACCTGAAGTAAGCAGGTTTACAATTCACCTTCTTCAGGAAAGGTCAGGAGAAGGCAGCAGGGGTGGTCACAGGGCTCAAAATCATGGCATTTGGGAAAAAAATGTAGATATCTTTAATTTAGGAGAAATTAGACCTCTTGCACAAGAGCCTTGAGAAGAATGGAAGATTCTCCACAAAGTTCCCTGGGGGTGATGGAAAACAGGGGAGAGTTAAACTGCAGCAAGGCAGAGGCTGGTTAGATGTCCCAAATTTGTTCTACTCGTGGGAGAGGCTGAGGGGAATGTTTGGATCCTTTGTGGGTATTTTAGATTCTGTTGGAGATGCCCATTTTAGGTCCTTTTCATTTCTGGATCTGTCAGTATTTCCCATAAAGACATAAATCAATCAGGAGGAGCAAATTGATAACTCTTACCAGGAGGAATAAATGATGCAGTGAAATATTTGCCATTCCAGATGAACTATTTGATTATCCAACCCCTGGATTTTGTAGTGACTAAAAATATGTGTATATTTTGTTATATTTTGTATACTTTAAGTGCTATAGCACATCTGCCACGTGGAAAAGAAGTTCTTCAGCCTTTCTGTGAAATTGCATTTCACACCTGGCAAAATCTCATTCCCTCTGACTTCACAGCCTCTTCAGTTGCTTGGAGCACCCACAGCAATTCCAGAATTGAGAAAGGAGAGCAGTGACATCAAGAATCAGCTCACAGCTCCAGGGTGTGGGCACAGATGGAGATAGGAAGGGATCCTTCAGGTGGTTTTTATTCAGCCTGTGTCTCCAAACCAAGGAAATATCCTGTCTAAGTTTGTGGCAGACTTAGAGGAGAAAATTCCACACCAGCAATTTAATCAGGACTGCTACAAACCTTTTCACCTCCATGCCTTTGGCTCATCTTTTCCTGATGAAACCATGGTGCATATGAGAGAGAAGAAAAAAAAGCTGCAGAACCAAAATATTCTGGTGTTTGCAGAGTTTTTCCCTGGAGCCAAATACCAGGAAGATGAACAGATGTGGTCATGTCACTGTGGGATGGGAAGAAGCACTGAGTGAGGATGTTGGTCGAAAAATCCCTGCTGTGTGAAGGAAGTGGGATGATTTTATCATTTTAAATAGGCTTTAGTGGTTTGAATTTGACTTCAGTCTTTATATATTAATTAAACCATTCCTGGGTGCTCTCCTGTGGGAATGCTGCTCTGGGTGTGGAAATGCACCCCACTTTAGGGGTGTTGTTTTTGTAAAATATCTGTGTGAATGTGAGCAGTGATGTTTTGCTTTAGCATATCTCACTGATAACATCTGTTGCTGTATTCCCAGGCAACAGCTCTGTTAATCTTCAAAGCATTTTATGAGCATTAACTAATGAATCCTCAGGTTTTCCCTACATTACCTCACCTTTTTAATAGGGAAAGAGGCCCAGTGATCCTCCCAGCACTTGTAGAAGAGGCAGTGTCAGGTCTGGTGTTAAAAGTTTGGTGCTTTTCAAGGGGAAATGATGAATTCAAGACTGTGTTTTGGGTTGAGGGCTCAGGGACCTGCGTTCAGTCTGAATTAAGCATTTATGAGATAAATTCCCATTTTCTCCCCTTCATTTCCCTTCCCTCATTATGGATGTCTGTTCCACACGAGGTTTGGGTACCTGATGCTCAGGGGTTGCTCTGCAGAGCTGAGTTTTCCCAGAGCTTCCCAGATCATGGGGAATGCAGCAGCACATGGCTGCTCCTCTACCACCACCGTGTGGGCGCCCAAACCACTCATCCCCAGCCATGACAAAACATTTTACCACTCCTAAATGTGGTATGGATCAGCCTCTGGTCTGAGTACAGCATGGAAAAACAGGAAATCAAGGTGATGGTGCATTTTTTCAGCCCAGGGAGAGGGGCAGGTGGATCAAAGGTGGATCAATGCTGTCCCGGAGCTCTGTCAGCTCCCAGGGAAGGTGATGGGAGCCACTTGCTCGTGCCTAGGGAGGGGAATTCGAGCTGGCTGGATGTTCCCACCTTGTTTGTCTTGCTGAAATAGCCTCACCTGAATTCACAGATCACACTCACATCTGAGGGTCCTTGTGGAAATGCTGATCCATTCCCTCCCTCCCAGCCTCTCCCTCCCTGTGCATCCATTTCCCACTTGGATGGGCACTGTCCGTTCCTCCACCCTGCCTGGCACCCACTCAGCCTGCAGGACAGCCCTGGCGGGTGCTGATGCCAATTTCCCCTTTCCTTTACACGGGAAACACGAGGAATGCAGCTCAGCCATTGATGGATGGGCTGTGAGCAGCGGCTGGGAAGTGTTGGTGGCGTTTGCCATCTCCTGGAGAATCTCAGCAACAGCAGAGGGCCTGTGACTGTGGTGCCTCAGGATTTGAGCTTTTCTATTTTCCATCTGTTTGTAACCCTGCAGTTCTTTAGTGTGTAACTCCAAACTCCACACTCAGTGTGAGCTGCTGCTTTCCCGTTTGGGGCAGACACAACAATTCCTCTCCAGGCCTGGCAATCAAGGACACCTCACTGCCTCAGGGCCCAGAGATGGGAACAAAAGTGAGTTGGGGGAGCAAACTTGGGGTCAATGACTTCATTAGCTGGAGCTGGAATTGGCAGATGAACCCCAATATGCAAATGGACCAAACTTATAAAAATGTGCAAACCCTGACCCATCATCCCTTTTTGAGTGCAGCCCTTGGGGCTGCCCTAAATGTACCTGAAGATCCTTTAATAAATATCACAGCTTTTTATTCCCTTAATTTAGTTTAGCCTCTGTTCTTAGGCAGCCCCAAAAAAGCATCAACTGATCCCCGCTCTGTCTCTTTCCCCAGAGCCTCCCCAGTGGCTGAAGAAGCCCGAGGGTGGGGTCTACAGCGTGGGGACAAACCTGGTGCTGCTGTGCGAGGCCATCGGGAACCCCGAGCCCAGCATCCAGTGGAAGCTCAACGGGAGGCCCATCGATGGTAGGTGCAGGGGCCAGGCTGCTCCTCCAGGCCCTGCCCATCTGGGCTGTGCTGGGGAATTTTTGGGATCTCTCATGGCAGGAAGGAATGATGAATCTGACTCCATGTTCTTAGAAGTCTAATTTATTATTATATTATATTATATTGTATTGTATTGTATTGTATTATATTATTCCTATACTAAAACTACACTAAAACTATACCAAAGAATAGAGAAAGGATACAGCCAGAAGGCCACAAAGAATGATAATTAAAAACTTGTGACTCTCTCCTCAGAGTCCAACGCAGCCTGACTGTGATTGGTCACATTAAGTCAAAACAATTCACGTGAAACCAATGAAACAATGACCAGTTGGTAAACAATGTCCAAACATTCCAAAGCAGCAAAAAACAGGAGAAGCTAATCAGATAATTATTGTTTTCATTTTTCTCTGAGGCTTCTCAGCTTTCCAGGAGAAGAAATCCTGGAGAAGGGATTTTTCAGAAAATGTGATGGTGACAGTGTGTCTGTATCACCCAGTTTGAGGGGATCCACAAGTCCCAACACACAAAATGATGTCTGGTTTAGCACTTCTTTAGATATGAACTGTTTATTTATTTAAATTAATTAATATTTAAATAGGATTCTTGAAGAGGGTGGTGGTGAATGTTGCACATGTAGAGCTGTGGTACCTTTGAGGTGCTGCCCAGTGACTCTCCCATCTTTTGGGGATCTGGGACAGCTTGAGCGCTCCTTTGTGCTTCTGAGTAAGCCCAAGGAGGTGGGGAGCACTGGTGTAGTGATATTATTATTATAATTTCAAAAAGTCTCTGTGGTGAAATTACTGGAATTTGGTGCTCTGGAGCACTTCCCTCAAGCCATGGGACTGCTGGCAAAGGCAGAGCCCTGCAACTCACCAGTTGTTGGGCACTGTCTTGGTTGAAACCTCAAGATGTTCTTTCCTTTGCCTTCCAAGCAGTGAGGAGAGCCTGGGAGCTTTCCAGTCATGGTGCTGCTCCAGCTGCTGACAACATCTGGTGTTTTCCAGGCAGGACCTTCCGAGGGAGAATCTCCACCAGGGAGATCAGCCTGACCAACCTGCAGCTGCAGGACAGCGCCGTGTTCCAGTGCGAGGCCACCAACAAGCACGGCACCATCCTGGCCAGCGCCAACGTCAACGTGCTCAGTGAGTGCCCCGGGCTGTCCCCTCCCAGAGGGCACATCCACAACCCAGCTGAATCCTCACAGCAGCGTGGGGCTTCTCACCACCTCATGGGTCCTTTGGGCTCCATGGTTTCTTTGGCTGGTCATGGGCATCTGATGGGTCCTTTGGGTTCCTCATGGTTCCTTTAGAACCATGAGAAACCCAAAGGAACCAAGAAACAAGAAACTATGTTCCGTAGTTTCTTTGGCTGATCATGGGCATCTCATGGTTCCTTTGGGCTCCTCATGGTTCCTTTGGGTTCCATGGTTTCATTGGCTGGTCATGGGCATCTCATGGTTCCTTTGGGCTCCTCATGGTTCCTTTGGGTTCCATGGTTTCATTGGCTGGTCATGGGCATCTCATGGTTCCTTTGGGCTCCTCATGGTTCCTTTGGGTTCCATGGTTTCATTGGCTGGTCATGGGCATCTCATGGTTCCTTTGGGTTCCATGGTTTCTTTGGCTGGTCATGGGCATCTCATGATTCCTTTGGGTTCCTCATGGTTCCTTTGGGTTCCATGGTTTCATTGGCTGGTCATGGGCATCTCATGGTTCCTTTGGGTTCCTCATGGTTCCTTTGGGTTCCATGATTTCATTGGCTGATCATGGGCATCTCATGGTTCCTTTGGGTTCCATGGTTTCATTGGCTGGTCATGGGCATCTCATGGTTCCTTTGGATTGGCCCCAGATTTTAAGAAATGTTGTCCACATTTTTGCAACAGGTTTTATCATGGGCAGTGTGATGTGCTTAGCACAGGCACTTCTGAGCTTTGGAATATTTTAAAAATGTGGTTGTGGTTGGGCTCAAAAACTTGAATTCAAACGCAGTGAACCCACTGGGGACTGAATTGTGGCCACAATGCTGATTTTGAGTTATTCAGTGTATTTTTAATCTTTGATTTCAGTTGAGATGCTCAGTCTGTTCTTTGAAGAAAGGGAGTTAGGGGAATTTATTTAATAAAAGACATCTCTGGAAGCAGCAGAACTGGGTCTATTTTCTCTCCTGGATGTTTCAATTTCTGCCATGTCCAGCAGTTAACCCCTGATATCTGTAAGTGAAGCTCAGCTGCTCAGTGCAACTCTTCCAAACAGCTGTGAAATTCCCATTGAACACCTCAACCTCCCACCCTTGCTGGAAAAGGGCAGGGGGCAGGGCCAATATTTATATCCCTGGTTCTGAAATGCAGTGCTGCTCACCCTGAATTTTCTCCTGCAGATATTGCCCCCCTGATACTGACCCCAGATGAGGAAAACTACGCCACAGTCGTGGGTTACAGCGCCTTCCTGCACTGTGACATCTTTGCCTCACCTGCAGCAGATGTCAGATGGTAAGATACTGGAAATTGGGTTTTTATTAATGTCAAACAAGTTCCTGCAGGCTTCCCCACGTTTGAAAAGTCTGCTAATTATAATTTCTATGGAGTTAAGAATAGAAATTTGCAACAAAACTGTATATAATGTAAATTCTCTGTGTTTAAAGGTGCTTTTGAGAATTCTGAAGAACTGGTTTGGGAAAAAAGAGTTCCTGGAAGTCCTCAATATATGTTTGAGGCAAATGCCAGACTATACATTAAACAAAACCATGCTGTTTATAGCCAAATACTGCTGCAGCTTCATCAGTTTAAACTTGAAGGGTTTGCTGACAACCCTTCAAGTTTGGACACACTATTGAGGTGGAAATGCAGTGACTTAGAGAACACATTTACCTGGACATGCTTCCATAGGCTTGGAAATCACAGGATTGTCACAGCAGATGACAGGTGCAATAAAGTTGCAGGTGGCAGCTACAGATTAAAAACAGAGCATTTTAGAGAACTTTCTAGACTCTGTCCCTGTGGGTTTGATGTGTAAAACTTTATGATTTGCTGCCTGTGCATGTAGTATCTCACTAATCCTGACTTTAATTGCTCAGCGGCAAAGCTGAGTCCCAAAATTCCCCTGCAGTAACCCCTAACCATGAACTGACACTTCCTGCAGTAACCCAGGCCTGTTTTCATCACCTTTAGGACTAAGGATGACAGCATAGAGCCCCTTTCAACGTTTCGCTACGAGGTGAACAAGAACGGCACCCTGGAGATCAGGAACACAAAGAAGGAGGATTCGGGGTCCTACGCCTGCTGGGCTGCCAATTCTGTGGGGAAAAGAGCAATCACTGCTAATCTGGATATAAGAGGTGAGAAAAGAACAAAAACTTTCATAGCTGCTAAGATTTTATGTCTGTAGTTTTTCAGGAAGTAGTGAATATTCAGTCCAGGGTACAGATTTATTCTGGGACTTCAAGATACCTCTGTGACTTCAGGAATTCTCTGGATGTTACAACCTGAAATTATCCACAGGTCTCGTATATGTGTAGCCTTTAACTTTTCAGCTGGATTTCTCCATGCTCTCACATGCTGCTCATTTTCTTCTGGATGCTTGCAGAAGCTGCACAAGCCACCAAAAATTTGCATTTACACATTATCTGGAAAGGATTTTCCTTCCTTTTTGTCACTGCCCTGTTACACTCAGGGCAGGCTCTTGGCTCCTGGGCTTGTGGGGTCCAGATGTGCTCCTGCTTCTCCCTCAGCTGTGGGATTCCCTTCCCTAAAATTCCTTCCCATTTGTTGATCAGAAGGCACATCCCAAACTGGATTAACTCCCAACAAACACGTTGCAGGGTGCTGCTGCTTGAAGGATTTTGCACTGGGCTTTTGCCTGTTTGTTGATAAATATTTTTAAGCAGAGCAAATAAAAATCCTCAGATGTGTTTACTTATAAATTTGAGATCCATCCCCTGTGCTGCAGCTCTGCTTTAAGGGATTTGTGTGGCTGCTTGGCAGGAGGGGTTTTCCCTGGAGGGTGTGATGGCAGTGGGCAGCTCCTGTTGGGTAGACAGGTGGCATTTAGTGGGTTTGCTACAAATTTGCTTAGGATTTAGGGCTTGCCAATAAAAAAAACAAAACCCTTAAATACTCAATTAGCAAAGCTCTCTGATGTAGGTTTGCTGTGACAAACTTGAGGAAAAAGCTCACTCATTGTGTTCCATTTCCACCCACTCCCTTGGCTTTGGGAATTTTACAGTGCTAATAAACATGAAAATGTACAATGAAATTGTCACAGAGCAACATTTCACTGCAGAAATAAATTCAGCTAAACGCTTTCTTCTTACTTATTCATCTGTTTCTGCATTCAGATTATAGTCAATTAAAAGAACAAACTTGATTGCAATAATTTTTTCTCACTTGACTTTAATATGCTTGTAATTTTTCTTGGATCATTGCCAAAGCTTATTTCAAATGGCAATTAGACATAAAAATCATATTCAAGCCTTTTATTTTTTTATCATCCATTTCATGACAAGCTGCTAACAAGAATTTTCACCTGTAACTTTTTTTTTTTGAGGATTTTTTTTCTGGAGCTCTTTAGTTTGGAGTGAACTAAAAAATGTTTCAAGATAAAAAAAAAAAAAGAAATCTTGGCAAATATCTATTTCAAACCCCACCATCTTTCATTTGAAATGTTTGTGTATATATAACAAAAAAAGACATGGTTGTTGCTCCTGAGGTTGATTTGTGTAGATGAAGTGCTTGGTGAAAATTTGATGTAATAGCCCCTCTCTCACCTAATCAAAGTGTTTTTCTGTGATCAATCAGATGCTACAAAACTTGTTGTTACTCCGAAGAACCCCCGAGTGCTGAAATCACATTCCATTTTATTGAAATGCCAGGCTGAGTATGATTCCCACTTGAAACACAGTTTTAAATTATCCTGGAGGAAGGATGGAGATGAGCTGCCAGTCAACAGCACAGAAGGTGGCAGGTGAGTGGGGAAGGAACAAGGCTGTTCTTGATCTCAGCTGGATAATCTGGCATGGTGCTGGAGCTGGAGTTTCATTAAACATGAGCCTTAATAGCTTGAAATGCAAATTTATGTCTGCAAAGAATTCTCCATGTGCTACGTGGGTAGATCTGCATTTTACACACATCTGAATATAAATGCAGCAATGTGAGTTTTGAGCCAAATGGGTTTGGGTTTATTAACTCTGGTACCCTCATAGCAGCATATAAAGTTATGTATTAATATATACATAATACATATCTATATTTTTATGTATAATATAAATGTTGGCCCAATCCAAAACCACAACCCTGACCCCAGAGCAGGTTGTTTCTCCACTTCAGTGGAACCAGTATTTTCTTGTAGTTTGAACTTATTTAGCCAAAACAAAGTCTTTGCTATGTTGAAGTGATGGTCAACAGGTTTCAGGGATTCTTCCATGAATCTTTCCTACATATGAATTTAGGATTTGCAGGCTGAATTTTGCCCTATTTTTGGATTTCCATTGACCTCAGGAGGCTGGAGCTCAGCCTTTATTCCATACAGGGGTCCCACAGGGGGAAATCAGATGTCTTTATTAATTACCACAGGAGAGAGATGATTCCCTAAATATGGAGAGGCTGAAAATCCCGCTGGGCCCTTGTAGGATGGTGAGGCAGTGCCATGGAAACTCCATGTCTGCCATGGAGCCCATGGCCTTGGATTCTTGGCAGCTTCCCTGGTGCTTTAGACATGACACAAATGCCTTGAGAATGCTCCGTTTCCCTCAATCTAGCAAAAATTCCATCACAAACCCCATATATTTGTATCATTAAGGACGTGCCAAAACCCTATGGCCCAGACACTCATACAGTGTGCTTCTTTTCAGAGCAGGATTGACAGGCCAGCCTCCAGCCATGGAGGCTAAATTGACACAAAATACAAATAATACTCCTCAGCACAGTGTAGGGCAGAGCCACAATTACATTTTAATGTAGCAGGCCCAGTGTGCAGCTATTTGATGAGACTGCCCTGTGCCAAGTTCCATTATGAACAATTTTTCAGAGAACAATGTCTGTGTGTCAAACTCATCTTACTTATTTTTCTCATCCTTATTATGTTTCTTTTTTTTTCTTTTTTTTCTTGCAGGATAATTCTGGACAGGGATACCCTGTTCATATCCAGTGTTCTCCTGGAGGATCAGGGAGTTTACAAGTGTGTGGCCAGCACTGCCCTGGACGCTGCTGAGGCAGAGGCACAGCTGATTGTTCTGGGTAAGGTCGATTTTCCTGCTGGAACTCCTTGCAGCAGGAATTGCAACTGCAGCACTTCTTTGCTTCTTTTCACAGAGCCTCAATAACCCAATTTCACAGAGCCTCTCACTCCTTAAGCTCAGCTGTGCTGTCCCTTATCTCTGGGAATGGCAATGCTAACACAAACTCAATTTATTTTCATCTTTGGTGTAGAAGGTGAGGCAGCATTTTTGCCTCAGCTCAGAGGCTGCAGGAGTTGCCCAGGCTGGAAGGTGTGAGAGCTTTCTAAGAATGGTTCTGCTGCTGCTTTGAAGTCCTTGGCCAGTCCTTCACAAGAACTGGACTGTTTTTTGAAGGCCATCAGGCCAATATTTGGATGTGCAGCTCCTCAGAAGATCTCTTCTGGTTAAGCACCTCAAAGGAATTAATTCTGTCTGTGAACTGAGCATGAATGGTTGTCCAGGGACAAAGGGAAGAGCCTTCACCCCCTGGTCAGAAGCTTGGCTTTCTGAGAGCATCCTCACCACCTGCATCCCTTCCTGAAGGACCCTTGGAATTAAGAGGATGAACTTGTGGAGTGCTGTGCACCCATTGCACCCAAGGGCAGCAGCCAAAATTCTGCTTTGTGGTCACAATTTCAGCCAGCCTGGTCTAGGTGATGGTGTCCCTACCCGTGGCAGAGGGCCAGAATTGGATAATCTTCAAGGTTCTTTCCAACCCAAACCATTCTGTGGTTTTATGATTTTCTGACAGCTTTGCATCATTTTAATTACATTTATTTTTGCTTCATTTTACATTTGTATTTATTGCTGGCAGTGATTGCAGCAAGAAATAAGTCAATCTGCCCTTCAAGATGTTTTTCCACTTTAAAGGAGTGATATTTTTCAGTAAATAGTAAATTACTGAAAGATGGAAGATGCTGTGCACATTATTTATGGTGCTGTGTCCTTCGGTGCTGTATAATTCAAAATGTTTGTAGATGATTCGTTACTTCACTGATGAAAATTTCATAAAGCATTTTATTCCTTTTTAAAAAGGTGCTTTGCAGAAGAAGAAAAACAGTTCTGTGCTCTTTTCCTTGTTTATTGCATATGAGAAAGGTCTTGGTGAATTAACAACATCCTATTTTCCGAGTGAAAAATTCAGGTTTTTGTGATCAAGAACTGGTGGGCTGACTGAAGAACTAAATAGACACATCAGATTAGGGGCAACTAAGAGTAAATTTTAGAATTAGAATAATTCTAAGAATTTGCTGTGTGTTTAAAGAACGTGTAGAGGGGTGAGAATATTTAAGACGCACCATCGCTATCTTTAAATTAATATATTGAATTTTAACCAGCTGTACTCCGAGGATAGAGCAGCAACCTGCCTGCAGATTAAACTGTGCTTTCCTGATATTTTCCCAGCTAAAAGAGAAATAGAGAAAGAAATAAAAAGAAAAGAAAAAAAATCCAAACATAAACTTTTTAACTTCTTGATGTATCCTGAGATAAAAACTCAGTATTGTAATTAAAAAAAATCAGTAAGAATGCAGTGAATGTTTTTCACAATGACAAAGACAGTGGTGGTGGTGGAAATCACTGGTTTTTCTGTAAGAAATGACATTGTCAGTCAAAAATTTACTTGGGACAGCATTATTTGAGCTGGCAGGTAGTGAATTTCCCAGTTCCCCATTAATGCAGATCCCATGGCTGGGATAATGGATGTTCTCCTTTCCCTCACACCCTCTAAGGCAAAGTTCAGTGACTGCCAGAGCTGAGGCTCCTTCTCCCACTCTGATTTGTCTCAGGGTAAATTCCAGTGATGCTGGACCTGTCCAGAGAACATTAATACAGGAAGAGGGAGATGAATTCCAGAAGGATTTTGTGTTTATAAGGGAAAAATCAGCACCAGAAGATTCGGGATCTTTCAAAGCAATTCCACTTTATGCAACCTGTCCATCTTGAAATCAGGAGGAATTTCACCACCATCTTCACTGACTGTGCTGTTCCAACCCTCTGGAAAATGCCAGGACAAACAGAAATACCTTGCTGTGCTCCTGACACTTCTCCTTTCTTTCTCAGATGTTCCTGACCCACCAGAAGATCTCCAGCTCTCGGAAAACCAAAACCGGAGCGTCCGACTCTCCTGGAAAGCTGGGGCCAGCCATAACAGCCCTGTGAATGGTAGGAAGGGGTTTCCAGCATAACTTTTTAGGGCAGTTTAAAATTCTGGCATGTCCTGATTGTCACAAACCCTTCTGATGGCCAAATTTAATCACTTTAACTATGACAGTTCGTTTGTTGCAAGTTCATTTCCACCCAGGCCTTTCACACTAAGTTGGATTTTTAATCTTGTTTTTTGTCCTTTTCCCTGCCCAGAGTCAATTATAGAGTTTGAAGAGAATCACTGGGAGCCGGAGATGTGGCAAGAGCTCATCAGAGTGCCAGGGAATGACACCACAGCCCTGCTGCCCCTGTCCCCATACGTGAATTACCAGTTCCGCGTGGTGTCCGTCAATGGCGTGGGCAGGAGCCAGCCCAGCAAACCATCCCTGCGCTATGCGACCCCTCCAGCCGGTAAACCTGGCTCTGCTTTCCTAAATATTCATATTTTCAGTGCTTTTTTTGGAATATCTGTGCCCTCCCATGCTCCAGAGGGTGTGAAGGAATCAGGGTCGCTTGCACTGCTCAGTGGCAGCCTCAGGGATTATTAAAAGTAGATCTTGTGGTGGGAATTGCCCCCAGCTGGTTTGGTGGACTGGAATAACCCTAAGTAATTTTGGTGGGGCAGGTGACCATTTAAATTAACTAAAGCAGTTCATTTTCAGAGAGGTAAAATCATCTGGAGGATGTCTCGTGACAAGTTATATTCTGATATTGTAGACATTAATGAGATGGGAACCCTGCTGGGGTGAATTCTTCAGTGATTGGTAAAAAAGAGCAGCCCAGCAGTTGCACATCAAATGTCCATGCGTTGTTTTGAGCATTTGATGTGCAGTTAGAACAAATCTAAATTTTAATGACCCAAATTGCTGCGCTGCATAAAATTCCTGAGGGTGCCAAAGGGAGGAGTCCACACTGCTGAATTTTCCTACGCCTCCAGCACCTCACTCTGCTGATTTTCCACCCTTTGCAGACCTTCATGGACAAACAGTTCCTGCAGAAGGGCTGGGTTTAGAAGGAGCCTTTCAGGAGCCTTAAGCTTGTCAAAAATCTCCATTTACAGAGCATTCACTGGGGCAGAAAATGTTGCCTCCCTGAAAGTCATTTTAGAGGCCAACTGTTCAGCACAGCATTTGCATTCCTTGGCATTTTCTCTCTTTTTTCCCCCATTTGCACCAATTTCAGGTCCCTCTTCAGCTTTCCAGCTGTGCGTGCACCTCTAATGATGCACCTTCTGTTTGCTATCCCCACAGGGAGAAAAATCTCTTTCTCATAATCCCCCCCACATCTGGTGCTTTCAAATCCAAAAGTCACAGTTCCATGTTAGCTGGTGGCTCCAACCAACAGGGACACTTAGGAATCCAAACTGCATAAACAACGTGCTTGGGTCCCATCAGCTTTGCTGATCCAAGCCATTCATCTCGTGAACGTTTTTTGTTTAAGTGTCTGTCACTAATAGGGGAATTTCCCATCCTTTTTGGCATTTGAATGCTAAATGCAAATAAACGGGATGAGCAAACTGACCTTGTCACCTGTGTGGTTTCAGCTCCAGATAAAAACCCAGAGAACATCCGAGTTGAAGCTTCTGAACCCAATGAAATGGTGATGAAATGGGAGGTAAGGCAAGATTAGCAAATCCTATAGGAATGATCCTTTATTCTTCTGAAAGATGAATTTGACTTAAATTTATTCTGCATTTTCAACCCCGCTATCATTTTTAGTTCAAAAGCCTGGTTTTTATGTCTGACTTCAGAAGATATTAAAAAAATATAGAATTCCTGTAAAGCATAGTAAGAATTCACCAAAATTTGTTCTTCTCTGCTTCTTTTATGCATGAAACTGCTTCTGCAGTTAAAATTACCAGCCAGGCCCAGGGAGGGGATGAGTGGCTCATGGCGCCTGCCCTTGCAGCCTGGAAGTTTAAAAACACCACAGATCCCTTGCCCAAGAGAATGTGAGCTTGAATTTTTACACCAAGAGCTAAAGGAATGTGGATAAACCTCCAAAGCCTGTGATGTGCATCAAAGGAATTATGTAAAAGTCTGTAGGATGGTTTCCAGGCTTCACATTTCCTGGGTTTTAAGCCTTGAGCTTCTGTGCCAGCAGTTGAGTTATGTATTCCTTCATTTAGCACAAATATCCACAACTGTGGAGGGAAGCAGGTTTTTGTTGAGGCTGGAAATACACACAGTTTGCATGAGATTTACTCCTCAATCTGCTGCTCCCAGCAAAGGACAACAGATTTTTCCCCAGTGGGGTAGAATTACATCCAAAATGAAATGGCCCTCAAGATCCATGGGCTTGGACTTGAATTGGATTTTTGGGTCAGGGGAGACAGTTCTGCCTCTCAGAAAGGTTGGGTTTGATCTTGGAGGTCTTTTCCAACTTTAATGAATCCATTAAACACAGAGTTTTATTACCCAGTATGTTTACTGGGACGTACTGGGATTTGAGCACCAGGAACTTCATAAGCACTGCTCAGACAGGGCAAAAGTGGAAGTGAAAGCTGAGCCTGAAAGGAGAGAATGGGATGGAAGGGCTTGGTTAAATCCTGTTGAATCATTAAAATGTTGTTAAACAGGATATTCATTTATTTATGGCATTTCTGGTGTGCTTTTCAGAGGAACTGCTGGGCACTGCACAGGCTGTTTCTGACAGACAAAGGCTGCAGAATGATGTTAATCTGCCTATTTTGGATTAAGAGACCAGCTGAGCTTTAGTGACTGGGATTTTCAGGCAAGGATTTGCAGCTTGAAGGGAGATCAAAATAAAAGTCAAGCAGTGCTGCAATTTAACTCTATCCAAGAAATCAGATTTTTAGGAGGAATTTTTTACTTCTCCAGCTTCTCTTGCAAATCCCATTCCCTGGGATTTTTGCTGTGGAGGTGGTGCCTGTGAGAAAGCTGCCCAATCTCCCAGTTCCTTTGCCTCAGACATCCCAAAGGTCCTCACAGCAGAGCAGATCAGTGGGAATTTTTGCAGATCCCCCAACTTTAGTTCTCCCTGTGCATGGGGAACATCAAAGGGGAATAACTTTCTACTGGTATTTGATGCTATTTCCTGTCAGACCTCTTGGATACAAACCAGCTGTTATATATTTCATATTTTCCTATATTTAAATATTATTAAAACCAGCCTATATGGTGGGAAACACCCACAGCTGTTCCAGTGTTTAGCTTTTTTGGTAGGATAGGTGATTATTTAACTTTCTTAATTAAAGTAGTGCATTTTCAGGGAAATAAACTCAACTTGAGGATGTCTCATGACAAGCTATTGCTAAACATCTCCTAATATTTTATAAATTCCTGTTAATTAGCTGGAAACCCTGCTGGGATGAATTCTCCAGCTGATTGGTAAAAGCAGAGTGGCCCAGCAGTTGCACATTAAATGTCCAGGCGTAATTTCAACCATTTGGTGTGTAGTTAGAACAAATCTAAATTTTAATGACCCAACTTGCTGTGCTACATAAAATTCTAGGGTGAAATGCAAATTTTATCTCAGCTAAAAGGCACACACAGCCTTATGCCAAACTGTGCAATTCAGTAGTGCTGAAGGCGTGTGGTTTTACCTCACACAGGAAAACCTGTGGCAAAACATAACCTGATGTGTGTAGGAGGCAGAAATACAGCTCCTAGCAATTAATCTGGATTTTAATCCAAGCCTTTCACCCTCCTTTCTCTTGAAATCATGTTGTTGTTATTCCAATCACCCTCAAATTAAAATGACAGCAAAAAACTCAAAGCTTGGAGTTTTTGCCCCTTTTCTCTCCCAGTGTTGAAACACACATTCCAAAACTGCCACCCTGTTCTTCCAAGTTCTTCTAAGCCTTCTGATATTTACATTCTTGTAACAAACTTTCTCACACACTTTATGTAAATAATTATTGGTTTTACATTGTTCTCTGGAGGAGGAGAAATTTGATGGACTGTTGTCTTGTCCAGTGTCATTGGAGAGGTGGCACTTTCATCCTCCAATCCACTGTCACTTCTGAAAATCTATAAATGTTGGAGTCAGAAAATAAACTTCCCTTCTTTTTAACTTGGAGGTTCCAGCATGCACATCATTTTATTTTGTATCCTAGAATGTCACAGACATATTTTATGAAAATCCTTTTGCCAGGATCTTTTTTCCTGAGAAGCTGAGAAGCTTCAGTGTCTCCATGTTTTGCTGCTTTGGAATGTGATCTGGATAATTGCTTATCCAGCATATCAAATTGTTTTTACTTGATGACCAATGACAGCCACCTGTGTTGAGGCTGTGAACAGTCACAAGATTTTATTATCATTCCTTTCCTTTCCAGCCCTCTGATGAAATCCTTTCTTCTATTCTTTAGTATAGTTATAATATATAATTTTCTTTTAATATAATATATATCATAAAATAATAAATCAGCCTTCTGAAACATGGAGTCAAGATTCTCATCTCTTCCCTCATCCTGGGACCCCTGTGAACACCATCACACTAGAGTGACACAAAACCATCCCCGCTCCCCTCAGCTGCTGTTTTGCGATTACAACAAAGGCAGACAAGATCTCTCTCAATTCTCCCCAGCCACTGAAGCCCATGGAGAGGAACGGGCCGGGGCTGGAGTACAAGGTCAGCTGGAGGCAGCGGGGTGTGGAGACGGACTGGAACGAGGAGCTGGTGAAGAAGCACTCCCTGAGCGTGCGGAACGTGCCCACCTTCGTGCCCTACGAGATCAAAGTCCAGGCTGTGAACAATTTAGGATCTGGCCCGGAACCAAACATCACCATTGGATATTCAGGAGAGGACGGTGAGTGGCAGGAGCTTGGCTGTAAAAATGGGGATTTCTTGTGCTCGGGTGTGGAGTGATGGATTGGGCAGCCCAAAGCTGCTGGAGTGCCAGGCTCAGCCTGATGGGCTCCATGAGGCATGGACATGACCCATGCTGGGTGCCTGGCTGCCAGCCTGCTGGAGTGTGAGAGGTTTTTTTGGAAAGGTCACTTGTGCTCTCATTAATCTCAGTTGTTGGCTTAGTCTGGGTGCTTGCTGAAGGCCACAGTCCATGAGAAGTCTCTGAAGTGTAGCAGTCGGGTTGTACTTGGTAGGGAAAAAATGTTTGGGCTCTCTGAGGCTTGACCCAGCAGTTTAACGCTGTCAGAAGTTAAATACTCTGACAATTAGGGACAAACTCGCAGGCACTGGGTGTTTGAGTGAACTTGCAGACAATGCCACATTCCCACGTGCGCTGGTGTTACCTTGTCCATGAGTCCCTGTAGAATGTGTCGTCCTCTCCAGCCTGGGTCCTGCCCCATGGTTTTCCATGGCTCCCAGTGGAATTTCAGTGCTGGAAATGGACTCGGTGGTGGTCAGACAGGAGAATCCCCACTGCCCACCCAGAGGGGGCAACAGGAAGGTCTGGTGGTGCAGAGGAGGTGGCGAATAGTGAGAACAAGAATAAAGAAACTCCACAGGATGTTTATTTCCTTTGTCTCTCTGTGATGAGTCTAATTTTGCATCTACCAGTGCAAAATCTTCCTCGCAATTCAGTTGCCAATGGATCAAGGCCGCCTTTTTTTCAGGCACTGTAATAGCTCTCTGTGTTATGCAGTGATTAAAATCCTACTGTTTAATGAGCTTAGTTGTAAAATGAAATTGATTATAAAAAAAACCTTTATGATTGCCTTCTTGAGTGCCGTGTTAATCATTTTTTTATTCTTCTCACTGCTGTAAGCATTGCTTGAAACAGGAAATCATAAATACTGGTGTTGAAATTCATGTGTCCCAGTACACATGTATCTCAACCCTCAGCAGAAAAATACAGAAAAATAATGTTTATTGGCCCATTCCACCCACTGGATGCAGGTGGAATGGCTTTTTGCTTGCCTGCAGTGAGACTGCGTGAAATGGCACAGCTGGAGCTGGAAAGCCAAGCCCTGGAGCTGGGAACAGTGTGAATCTGGGCTCTTGGAAGTGTTTTTAACACCTGGGACGTTTGTTTTTACAGTTCCAGATGCTGCTCCTGCGCGCGTGTCGGTGGAAGTCATCAACAGCACCCTGGTCGAAGTCTTCTGGTCGGGGATACCAAGGGACAGAGTTCGTGGGCACTTAGGAGGCTACAAGGTTACAAATCTCTCTATAAATATTTGTATATAGTTGAATAAATTATTAAATGAGTCCCAGATTGCAATCTCTCATTTTTGGGCCGGTGAGAGAGATCATGATCATGCTCATCCCCGTACAATATAATTTGTTAATAGGAATCCCAATCTCCTCTCAGGTGAACTGGTGGAAAACAAGAAGCATGCTGGATGGAAAGAGGCATCACCCAGAGAAACACTTCCTGACATTTGTAGGAGAGAGGACCTCTGGGATGATTCCTGGCCTGGATCCCTTCAGTGAATTCCGCTTGACAGTTTCGGCTTTCACCTCCAGAGGAGACGGCCCTGAGAGCTCCCCTGTGTTTTTTGAAACTCCAGAAGGAGGTAAGACAAGAGGAAAATATGGGATGGAGGGACATAAATTGAAATTGTCCTTGGGACAAGGTGAGTTGATTGCCTTATTTAAGGTGATAGTAAAAACTCCACCATTTGCAGAGCACTTCACTCGAAAGGGGAGCTGTGGGTGTTAAGCTAAATTATATCCTCATTTTACAAGAATTTGCAGGGGCAGACCTGTTCACTCTCCTCTGAAAGCTCATCTCTGTGTCTTCCAGTCCCTGAACAACCACGTTTTCTCAGGATCCTGAGCTTTGACAAGGACTCAGTCACTCTGTCCTGGGGGCTTCCCAAGAAGGCCAATGGTCACCTCACTGGCTACATTCTGCAGTACCAGATAAGTATGTGCCTTGTTTGCTTTTGTTCAGAATTGAAGCAGGATTAGTTAAGGAAGACTCCCAGGTGTGATGTGCACAGAGGCTGCCAGAGGGCAGGCTGCAGTTTTCCATGCACTTTTCCCATGGAAGCTCCCATTGCTGCCATCCCCTGTCCCACATTTATGGGCTGATTGAATTATTTCATATTGGCAAATTACCCCTAATGTGGTGGCTAAAAAGACCCATAAATTGTAGGTGAACATTTTACTGGAGTGAAGCTCATTTAATACACAGTGCATTGTGACGAGAGCCCTCTATGAAGCCACAGTAATGTAGTTCTGCACATTATGTCAGGGAGTTGCTCCCCCCTAAGGTGCCTCAGCAGAAACACAAAGGACCACCTGAGTCATGGTGTTGAGTAATCACACTGAAAACAACCAAATACCAGGGGAGTTCTTTCTTTCTTGCCTAGGAAAGAAATGAGAAACAAAGACAACCTCAGGCAGGACCCAGTACTTAGCCCAGACTGCCACAACACCACTTGTGTGGTGTGGTGATAATTCAGTGTATTTTACACATTCTTTGAGGGTGGTAAAAGATGAGTCTCTGCCCTATTTTTAAAAAAATAATCACCCATGTAATTTACACTTCTCCCTGCTGATAGCAGAACTGCTCAGATACCTTTGCATCCAGATCTTCCATTTGGTTTTGCTGATTATGGGCAGAGTGGATCTATCTACAGAACTCCAGATCCTTTTTTATCCCCCTCTCAAATACATATGCATGCAATTTCACAGTAAGTTCATACATATTCATTTTTACAGATTTCATGTGACACTTGCTGCTGATTTTCTTTATCAGAAAGAATTCCTGGGTCAGGTTGACCTGCTCTCATAGCAGTCTCTCTGTCTTTTCTCTATTTATCTGTGTCCTTCACTGAAGCAGTTTCTCCCAGCCTAGGCTTTTTACGAGAACAGGCAGTCAGAGTAAACAGCTGCGTTTTCAAACTACAGACTTAACTCGAAGATGTACATTTCACCTAAATCAAAATGGATTTCCACTCTGGAAAATTTCCACTCTGTCCCAGAGTCAGCTGCATCATTCCTGCCTTTGTTGGTGCATTTCCCAGCAAACACAATCCTGACTGAATGCTCTTCCCTTGCAGTCAACGAGACGCACGAGGTGGGCGCCCTGAGCAATGTGAGCGTGGCCAACCGCTCAGCGCTGAGCTGGCACCTGGCAGGGCTCAGCCCCAGCACCAAGTACAAGTTCTACATCAAAGCCTGCACGGCCAAGGGCTGCGGGAAGGCGGCCACCGAGGAGGGGCTGACGCTGGCCCAAGGCAGTAAGTTCACAAAATCCGCTTCCATGTGGAGAATGGCGGGAAAATGTCATGTGTAGGTAAAACTTTACAAAATTAGGGCCTTGTTACTTTTATAAAATCATGGTTAGGGCCTCCTGCTCTGGCTGAGTGGAAAAGGACTGTGGGAAAGTGACTCAGTTGAGTTGGAGCTGAAGCTGGCCCAAGGCAGTAAGTTCACAAAATCCGCTTCCATGTGGAGAATGGCGGGAAAATGTCGTGTGTAGGTAAAACTTTACAAAATTAGGGCCTTGTTACTTTTATAAAATCATGGTTAGGGCCTCCTGCTCTGGCTGAGTGGAAAAGGACTGTGGGAAAGTGACTCAGTTGAGTTGGAGCTGAAGCTGGCCCAAGGCAGTAAGTTCACAAAACCCGCTTCCATGTGGAGAATGGCGGGAAAATGTCGTGTGTAGGTAGAACCTTACAAAACTAGCAACCCTTGTAAAATCATGGCTAGGGCCTGCTGCTTCGGCTAAGTGGAAAAGGACTGTGGGAAAGTGACTCAGCTGAATTGGAGCTGAAGCTGGCCCAAGGCAGTAAATTCACAAAATCCACGTCAGTGTGGAGGAGCTCTGAGAATAGCAGGAAAAATGTTGTGTGTAGGTAAAACTTTACAAAATTAGGGCCTTGTTACCTTTGTAAAATCATGGGTAGGGCCTGCTGCTTTGGCTGAGTAGAAAAGGACTGTGGGAAAGTGACTCAGCTGAATTGGAGGTAGGAAAACAACTTCTAGAACCGTGATGTGCTCACATCGTGGTTTATGGTGGTTGGTTGAATTACATTTGTTGTGCTTAAATGGAGTGCAGCTGATAATGGCCTAACTGCTTTAAAAGGCCTGGTTTTTGCAGTAAAGAGCTCTCCTTTGCACCTGCCTGGGGACTCTGCATTACTCTGCTTCGTAACAGAAAAATCCATCGGGAATAATCCAGGCTTGACATTTCCTTTGTAATTAGGGGAAGTAAGTTTGTTTTCCTTGCCATGAGAGCAGTCAATGGGCTTTTTAATGTGGCCATGGTGTTCTTCGGGGAAGCAGAGCTCATCTGTTTCATTTTGCTGTACAGTCCTGTTTCTGTTCCCACCCATCAACTCCTTAAGCCATGCTGGAATAAGTGAATTGCATTCAGGCACGAACAGAAAATTGGAAATGCAGATAATCTGTTCTCAGTAATACTGTAAAAACAAATTCTGCCCGTGCTTGAAGATGGGGGACTGCCAGCAACATCAGGGTCAGCTGTTTGACATGGAAAATCCAGATAAACATCAAGTTGACTGCATTTGCTCCATTATTTATGATTATTTTATCAAAGACAAGGAGTAAGTGTTTGTCTGCCACTTACACCCTGTGCTGAAACACTGATGTTCAGTGATTTAGAGAAAAATCCCAAGCAGTCTATGATAGCTCATCTTTCACTTTCAGCTGAAATGAAATAAAATGTACTGTGCTCAGCAAGTCTGAGAACTCCACAGCACTGAGGAGCAGCTCCTTGCTATTCATCAGAAACCATTGCTCTGCACTTACCCGGGGAAGGAGAAAAGAGAATGAGATAAGCAAAAGAGTCCTGACTGCATCATTTTTAGCAAAGATAACAGTGTGCAGCAATGTTGATGGAAAATAGAAAAATGGCCCATGTGCTGTTGGACTTCTAAGTTGCAGAATTCTTTTCAGTTACTGGTAAAACAGGAAAAATGTGTTTTAAATCTTCATGTCCCAGTTCCACATCCAGTCAGGAACTGCCATTTGTTTTCCCAAGTAGTAACTCTCTTTTGGCCTCCAGTCTCAGTGTAGGATACAGGTACTCACTGGTAGCAACCATTAATCACCTTGATTTATTACTCATTAAGAAAAGAAAAATTAATCTTTTTTTTCCAAGATAAAAATACCCCATTTCCCCTCATTAGCTGCCTCTTCTGGCCTTCATTGGGCAACCAGAATAATATGTTTTGACTCCTTGAAATAACCTTGTCATGGTTTAGAGATGGTGACATTCATTTTGTTCTCATTCTCTACTTTCCTAAACTCTGTTTCAGTGGTGGCAACACCTGATTCTTGTGAAATATTTCTTAGATGAGAGCAGTATAATTAATGAAAGCTGCAAGGGTTCAGTTCTATGATTTATGTGTGCTCCTTGCTGCTTCTCAAGCCACCCTGAATTAGGGCACTGCATCTGTCACTGAGATGCCATTAGAGTTCTGTGTCATTATTTGCTGGCTAAATTGTTCAGATATTTTTCACCTAAACATGATAGGCTGAAAAAAAAAATTAAAAATCACTCTTTTCAGTGACCTCCTTGAGGTTTTAAACTGTGGTTTGGGGACTGAGGCAATTGCTCAAAATTAAAACAATCTCTCTTTTTGAAGGAGGGGAGTGATTTCAGAAGTCAAAGTTTATCATTTCAAATGACCCACGTAAGTGACAGATATAAAATGTGGTGCCCTCTGAAATGAAACTCCATGATGGAGTACTCCACATTTCTTTGGGGGTTGATTCAGTGATTCTATAACCACTCTGTTCCAGTTTAATAATAAACCCATAAAGCTCTCGTTGTTCATTTTAAGGCTTTGGAAACTTCCAGTGCTGCAATTCACCCTTTGCCATGAGTATTTCAGAATTGCACAATGCAATCTGCCAGGAAAGTGGAGATGTTGAGGTGGCAGCTCTGGAGTCATTCACATTTTATTTTTTTTTACTTATCTCTATCACTGCTGTTACTTTAATTTATTTGCGGCTATCCCTGCTACTGTTGTCTGGAATTAGAATGAAAAGGGAATTTCCTTATTTAGTATATGTGAGGATTCGTGTAGCACCACTAAAAACAAATCTGTACAAGGAAAATAACTCAGAAATGAAACCCTTATAGGCAACCTAAGATCTTTATCATTTCTTGATAAAATGACTCTTGAACCTGAGCAAATGGGGATTTGGATTGTACTGCACAATAAATAACAGCTTAATTTCTATGGTTTCATCTTGGTTTCATTGCACTGAAGAAGGTATGTTGTCCTTAGAAAATGACTATAATCTCTGTCTTCATATTTTCAGGCAGTATGTCTTAAATGACCTCCAAACTAATTAATTTTCCCCTTGAAAATGTCAATTTCCCCAAGATCATTAGCCCTCAGAAACATAACACAAAATAATGTTCTTCCAGAAGTGAAAAGATTAATTTAATGTAGCAGCCCTTCTTTAACACAAAGCTCCTTTTCATCCAGTGCTGCTCGGGGATTACCAAACACATATTACATGTTGAGAATTATCATTGTGTGTCCAGAAATCCGAGCATTAATGAGAAATTCATCCACATGAAGCTACACAGTTATAGGTTTATTCTCCAGAGAAGCCAGGAAATAAAAGTTCAACAATTTCATTACATTCCAGTGGCTGTTGGCTCATAATTCCCAAAGGGTTTTGGAAGATCTTAGGGAGAGGCTCCTATCCTTCAGGACCAAACACGTGTGGGGTTAGCTCTCCTTTGCCATGGGCACAAAGGAAAAGTAATAATAAAATACTTTTCCTGTATGTAACCACTGCTGCTGTTAGCAGCAAACCTAATTTTTAGTTCACAATCTAGAAAATCTAATTAAATCAGTGCAAATTTCTTGATCATCATCTCCCCTATAAAATTTTCTCAATAAACTTTATATACAACAGGTTTGCTAATCTCTGTAGTACAAAATAATCCAAATTTAACATGAATTACCTCCTGCACTGAAAAGCCCAGAAAGTGAAGGATACTTGTGCTGCATATTTATACAGTTTTAACAGCCAAGCAGCAGGGGGAAATGAATGAAAGTTCAGCTTTGCATTTATTGCAGCAGATGTATTTAGACAGGTATGGTTATAAATTAAGATGCTGCCCACAATTAGTATTTAGCTGTCAGACTGCCAGGTTTTTTTTTATATAAGTGTTTTTTATAACAGATGTGCTAACTTTTGGAGAACACTCTGGAAAATCTTCGGGGGTGGTTTCTATTGTTTTTCCCTTTATACCATAAGCTTCTATAAAAAATGTGTGTTCTGTTCTCCTCATAAATCTTGGAGCCCAGTAGGAATATTGTAAAATTGCAGTTCAGTGTTTAATGTTCATGCAAGTCCCATGGTGTGGCTGATAAATAGTGGGGGAAGATGAGAAGTGCTGGTGATATGCCTTTATTACTAATGCTCCTTCTCCCTTATTGGAGATTAAAAACCCAACCCAACTGCTTTCAATTTTCTGCAGCTAATTCCTGCAGCTTTCAGGATGTTCCTGGCCTTCCAGGATGTGGAGCTTTGCCTTATCTGTGTAACTTTGCTTTTATTTTTCAGGAGGCCACACTGCTTTTTCTATTCCAGCCACCAAACCCACCCCATTAGCAAATCTTTCTGCTCTGTAGGGCCCCTGTTGGCTGTGTCACACAGACCAGGAAGAAATGGCATGGAAAGAAATCTCATAATCACCCAGCACTGGACACTTTTCTGAGTTTTCAAGGAAAAAAAGAGTGTTTTGGGTTAGGAGATGCTAGATGGAGAGCTGTTGGTAAATCCCCAGTGCCAGGTTAGGCTGGGCTCATCCTCGTCCCAAGAGCTCCATCCCAGCCCTGGGCTGCTCCATGTGCCAGGGCAGCTGCAGCATCAGACAGAGCTGAGCAATGAGTGGACAGAAAAAGGGATTTTTTCAGCCATCTCACTTCCCTCTTTCTGCTTCTCTAAAGAGCTGATGGTTCAGAAAGTCTGCCACAAGCTGGGAATAAACAGGAGGCAGAGAGGGACTGGTTTAAGAATATGCATCACAAACCACCTGGCAGGAGCTTAAGATTTAAGATTTGCTTCCCAGGAATTCAGGAGAAATTCTTCCTTAGGAGGCTGCTGGTGTGAACACTTTGGGTCATGTAGTTACCATGTCATGCACAAATGTTAGTGGCATTTAACAGATTGAAGGTTAGTGGTATTTTAACAGATTGAAGGTTGAAGGTTTGTTTTCATTCCTGTTCCTTTATGGATAATATCCCCATTTTTCTGATGCCTCGATTTTAAAGCATGTAATTAAAATGTACCTGTGGTATCCTGTTGCCTAATTTTTGGTTTGATTAAAAACTATAGCTGGGTTTCACATACTTCATTTAGCAAAAATTACCCATAGATGGATTAATTTATGCTAATGAGCTGTGCTTCAGTATCGGCAGTGTTTCAGCTGGATGTGTTCTCTGTGGTCCCAGTGGTCTGCTCATTTAACTGCTTATTGTAATACGTGGAGAGTTGCCTTAAAAACTTATCCTGAACTGCTGCTTTGACTGTGCTTGGATTTATCTTAATCTTTTTTTTCTTTTTTTCCCTTCAGCTGTCAACTTAGCCTTAATCTCCAGCAGCTTCTTGCTTTGCTTATTTACTAGTTGAAGTATTAATGAGCATTGTTCCCCTGTCAGTGCTAATTGGCCGAGCAGTTTTCAGATTATACTTTGTGCTCAAGCCTTAGTTTACATGGCTTTGGACAAAACAGGCAAATCAGGCGACTGAGAACAATTCAAGAATCATTTTTAAGTGCAGCCCCCCTCAAATTTTTCTCCTGCTATTGAGGACATCTCTTACATGTTGTAAGAGATCTCTCCATGTCACACACAGTTCTGAATTTGCTGAGTGGGCTGTTCATGTCCTGGCAGTGATTTTCGACTCCTGTAATGCCCTTTCTCCTGCTTTCCACAAAAGCTGTTCTGAAAAATCTCATTTAATGCCCACAATCTGAATGCAGATGGGGTTACAGGAGGTGTTTTGCAAATAACAAGGTTCCATTACCAGAACTAGTGGAATTTACCTTTTCCTAATCAAATATTAAACTCCTCAGCAACACTTAAATGCCTAAATGTCCATTTACAGGCAAATTGTCGAGTTGTTTCTAAACCAGTGCTTTGTGCAGTCATTGTGGAATTTAAAAGGACACAGAAAATCACTGTCAGGAGAGAAGCAAGCACAAATCCCACTGTTAATTTTTTCTGGGAGACATATAAGGATCCATATCCAGCTAACAAGCTGTCTGTGCTTCCCTGCTGAGTTCAGTTCAATGGGAGAAGCATCAAACCCCAGATTATCCATACAAAGCAAGCCCATTTGCAAGTTGTAATTTTTTAAGCAGGCATTAGTTGAAGCAGATCCATAATCCCCCATCAATATTAACTTTCATCCTGGGAGATGTGCAAACCCCTTCCTGAACATCAGGATTACTCCGGTCCGCCGTTGATTTCATCTGACGGAACATTAAAAATCAGTGGGGAATGTTTGGGGAATGTTTGGAAAATCAGATTGCCCGATGCCAAATGTTTAAAATTCCTTGTTGTGTTTGTGTGTTACTTGTAACTGTGCATTTCCTAGGCTCCTTGTCCATGAATGCCATTAACCCTGTGCCTTGGCTGTGTGCATTCCGTAGGTAAAGGCAGCGGCAGGATTTCAGACGCGGTAAAGCCCACCCCAAAGTTTCAGCCCAGCGAGGCCCTTGAGCCTGGCACTGAGTACACAATCCGCCTAGTGACTAAGAACTGGGTGGATAACAATAGCATTTTTGAAGATGTAATTGAGACCAGGGGGAGAGGTGAGACACGAAGCCCTTCGAGGCGCTGAACGTTTGTTTTTCCGTGTGAATCCATGCTGAGGTTCCTGTGCACTGTGAGTGTCCCAAACTCATCTTTCCGTGCCGTGGGGTTGAGGTTGGCCCTTTGCAGTTGAATCCCATGGCAGCGCAAACACATCCCAGGTTCTTGGCTGAGCCCTGTGCTTTACAACAGCCTGGAACAATCCCAGACCTGTGCAATGTGAGAGGGCAGTGGGATAAAACCCATGAGTGGCCAGTTTGGTGATCTGCATGTACTGGGGGCACTTTTACCTCTCTCTCTTTCACAAAACTGCTTTTGCATGAGAGGCTTAACAGCTCTGTGCTCAGCTTTCCTGTGTGGTGCTAATCCTGTGACTCAACTGCTCTCTCAGAGCCACCTTGCCAAGTGTCTGTGTTGTCCCTTGTCCCCCACACGCTCCCCTCCAGTCCCAAATGTCTCACTCTGGACATTCCTGTTGCAGCTGAGCACCATCATCAGCCATAGGCTGATTCCATTAAAATCCAGAGAGGACCATGATGTGTTCATGTTATTGTGGGGTGCTGCCCTTTCCCTCTGATTAATTTTCTCCCTTTTTGCTCCTCTCCCATCTCCCCAAGCCTACGCTGGCATTTACGAGGGGATTTCCACCCAGGGCTGGTTCATCGGGCTGATGTGTGCCATTGCCTTGCTCACCCTGCTGCTGCTGACAATTTGCTTTGTCAGAAGAAATAAAGGAGGCAAATATTCAGGTAAACGGATTTATTGTCCTTTCCCTCTGCTCACATGTTAATAACTAACATCCTTCAGAGGTTCCTCTCTGGGGGCCGCAGGGCCGCGAGCACAAACATCCAATTAGGATTTGTAGCTTTTGATAAATATCCACGGAAGGGGTTGTAATGAGTGTAAGTGGAGCTGTGCTGTGTGCTGCTCACAGAGCCTGCAAAGGCCTTTCCCAGCACTCCTGGAATATTCCAGCACTTAATCCAGCAAGGTCCTTGCTGGCAGGACTCCCTGCCCACTTTCCACCTGGGAAGTGCTGCTGGACACATGGACAGAACTTCCACAGGCAGTTTAACAGTGGAATATTTTGCTAAAAATTACCTCTGTCACTTTCCAGGCAGTGAGTAAGGATTTAGGTAAATGTATTAAGGTCAAAATCTGGTTGCGCAAAGAGGTGGTGGTTGCTCCATCTCTGAAAACATTCAGTGCCAGGCTGGACGGGATTTGGAGCACCCTGGGACAGTGGGAAGTGTCCCTGGTGGCACTGATGAAATTTAAGTTCCCTTCCTACCCAAACCATTCCATGATTCTATAAATACTTGCTCATAATAAATCAGGGAATGGTCCCAAACTCGTGGAAGCTCCCAGGTTGTGTCCAGCCAGCTCCAGCCCAGCCTGGAGGTGAGTGCAGATTGTTTTCCCATTGCCCCTGGGAAAAGAAAAATCCATGGCAGAACACAACACAGAGATCTGTCCTTTATTTTATTTGCACAGTGAAAGAAAAAGAAGATTTGCATCCAGATCCCGAAGCTCAATCAATAAAAGATGAAATCTTTGGGGAATATAGGTAAATAGGACCTGCTTTCACAAGGCTTTGTGTTTCTTGGGGTTTTGTTTGTTTCCAAATCATTATTCGGGACATTTTTATGGCATGCAATTAATGCTGTTTTTCATTTTCAAAGCAAACCTCATAGGAGTGGATAAGAGTAGGAATATAAAGGTATATCCAGTATATTTCAATCCATCCAAGCTGGGATATAAGGAAATGCTGATGTATTGGTGGTTATTTTTCACTTTTTTGTTTTTTTAATTAGCATTGTATGAATAATGTAAATATATATGATAATTTGGGGTGCTGCTGAAAAGCCCACTGAAGTCAATGGACTGAATTCTATGTCTTCAGTGTGTTTTTGAAACTCAGACCCAAATCATGTAATATGGGGGATTTTGGGGAAGAAAACAAAGAAAATTTTGGAATATGGTAAAGAATATTAAAAAACTAAACTTGTCTCTACAGAAATCCCTGTAGGAGAATTGAAATAACCACTTTGGCTGCTTTAAAATAGCTAAAACTTCTAGCAATATGTAATTGTGATATGAAGGAAAATACATAATTATAAGAACCATGCTGGAAAACTGGGGTTGCTGCCCTTAAGGGCATAAAATTGCTGTTGAAATCCCACTTATATATACTACATTATTTGTACTGAAGTAGGGCTTTTTTTTTTCTGCATAATTTCATCTTTATTTAATTTTTAATGCTTTCTAATGGGACAAATATTTAGAAAGGTAAGAAAGCCCTGAGGTTAACAACTTTGACCCCTTCCTTTCCCCCTGAAATCCAAACTTGTCTTTTTTCTGAGGAGAAATGCCCTGTGCAGAAAAGTAGTGATTTTTTTTTTCTGTGTTGTTTATGCACAGAGTATATTATTATATATTATTACTTATATTGAGTCCATCCTGAAGAAATGAAGCTCAGGTTAATTTCTCTGTCCCTCCTTAGATAAAATTGCCAAAGATTTGACCCTGAGTTGGCATTAGCAGCAAGGACCCTACTTGAGTAATGATGTCCCTAATCCAGAGGCCTAATTCAGTTTTTTTTATATAATCTTTTAATATTTCCCCAATCCCCCCAAATGTCCTGTTCTTGTTCCTCTTCTGTGGTGCCATTAGGAGTAATGGCTACTGAAATTCCACGTTTTTTCCCAGAATTTTTGTGGTGGGCCTGTCCTTTTTCATGGAATTTTCACTGAATAGAGTCTGCAGACATTCATTCTGCTTTGGTTTTTCCCAGTTCTTCCCCTTTTCCCTGGAATTTTCACTGAACAGAAACTGCATATGCAGATATTCATTCTGCTTTGTTTTTTTCCCAGTTCCTCCCCCTTAGCGGAGGCAAACTCCAGTGAGATAAACTCTGGTAAAATAAAATAACAGCAGGGGAAAAAAAAGGAGGAAAGCACCTTATTGGCCATTTAAACTCAAAGGGGTGTTCCCAAAGTAATGAGATGTGACCCACTGATATCACTTAACCCACCCACTTCAAAAGGAAAATTAAATAAATAGGCCCTGAATGTTATCCAGTGTTTTGTAAAATGAGAAGTGAGGTTCCAAAGGTTTGACACCAGCCCTGGTGGCTGGAACAGACCCCTCCAATCCTTTCCAGCTTTCCCTTTTCCTTCCCCCTCCCTCTCTGTCCATTCTCTGCCCAAGGCAAAAAGGGAAAAAAAAACCCAAATAGATGAATACTGATAATTCCCATTAACCAATTAATTTGTTGGAATCATGACAGAACCCCATGTGGGTGAGCTCAGGTGTGTGAGGAGCAGGGCAGGACTCAGAGATCAGATCATCCTCACTGTTCCACCCACATGTCCCTCTCTCTCCCCTTCCCAAGGCAGGAGCATGTCCCTCGAGTGTCCCTCGAGCACTGCAAGGCAGGTTTTTGGAAATCAGATTTTTGGAAAGGCAGGTTTTTGGAAAGGCAGGTGCTTGGAAAGGCAGATTTTTGGAAAGGCGTCTCTTTATTTTGTAGTGACAGCGATGAAAAGCCGCTGAAAGGCAGCCTCCAGTCACTTAACGGGGACATTAAAGCCACTGGAAGTGCTGATAGTCTGGTAGATTATGGAGAAGGGGAGCATGGCATGTTCAATGAAGATGGTTCATTTATTGGAGCTTATTCTGGATCTAAGGAAAAAGGATCAGTGGAAAGCACTGGGAGTTCTACGGCGACTTTTCCTCTCCACGCCTAAAATTGGTGTTTAATTGTGGTGTTGTCCTGGTTAGCTCCCCACAGTTACCTGTGTGCTGGGGAGCTGGGTGCCAGTTGAGCCAGCCAGGAAAACCCTGACATCCAGGTAATACAAAAACAAGTCACTGCCACTAAAATATGAGTTTTCCATCCTAATTTCTATGTGTTCTCTTCTGAATAAAACAGAGTGATTCTTTTTTCTACACGATGTGTTAGTCTGAGCAGAGTTTGCTCTGGTGGTACATCTGTGTCCTTGCCTGCTGCTCCAGGTTGGAATATGTTTCTCTGTAAGTATTTTTGCCCTGTATGGCTGTTGTCACAGGTGTGTGTGTAAAATTCCCTCATGGCCTTGGTTACAACCTCGAGGTTATGGCACCAACAAAACCAGGTTACTCTGCAAAGTGACACAACAAGGAAAATTAGGATTTAAAATACCAGAGAAATATATTCTATATATTGTATAATTTTTTCCAAAAGAATTAAACCCCTTCGTGTATGATATTAAAAAAAAAAATGTTTTAGTGGTTACAGCTGACGTCAATTCCAATACTTAGAAATGCAGCTTTACCCACAGGAGAGTGTGGGTGAAGCTGCTGCCCAGTAGCTGGCACTATTTCCTTAAATAAGTTAAGCTGCAGCTCTTTCCTGTGGCAAGGCAAAACAGGGTTCCCATCCACCATCACTCGAAATATTTTTAATTTTTCCCAGCTGCAAGCTGCATTTCTAAGCAAACTCCTTGGTGTCTGTCTCATATCTGTATATTTGTGAGCTAGCCAACATTTCATGGAGACGTTGTACATACGATATTAATATTGACACAAGTCCAGAGCAGCCTGGTTTTATTTTGAACTGAGACATGTTGCTAGCATGGGTCTGTATAGCTGTGTAGGAATGAGTAGATTTGCTTCTCAATATGGATTTGGACCAGCAGAATTAGTTTCCAGAAGGAGTTGTGTGTATAGGAATCATCCAAACCTCTCACCATCCAAGCAGCACCTAAACTAGACCTACCTGAATTTCAAGACTTCATTTCTTTTCAGCCTATTCACTGTTAAATAAACAAAAAACAACAAAAGCAAAGAGAAAATATTATGGTAGAGTTTGCATTCCTACTGAATGCTGGTTTGAATCTGGTTCTTTGCCTCTCCAACACTAACTCAGCCGAGCTGTACAGCACATTTTTTTGGTCTTTTTGTATTGGAATCTCCTGAATCTCTTTTTAGCAGCATTTGTATATTTCAATCTGCTTGTTTGAGTAGACCATTAACGTGGCTTCATTTCTTCTGTCACGCCCATTATAAAAGTTTCCCAGTAGTTCCTGCAGGAGGAATAGACCCTAAAAGCTGTTTGGCATCCTGATAGCAATTAGGCAAATTTCCCCAAATGGCTCCTCCACGATTTCAGTGGAAGAAAGAGAGGAAGCAAGAATTACTCCCGTGGTTCTGAGTTTCCAGCAAGGGCTACAATTAAGCCCAGGGAAATGCAGATTTTTCCCAGTGGATCCCACACAGCTCCCCCCAGGCTGGGGCTGCTCTCAGAGCTTGGCAGTTTCTGGAAGCCTTTGGTGCTGAAGCTTCTGCTTATCTGTGCCTCTTTTTGGGGTTTTATTGGAGCTTTTTGTGTAACCTCTATTTGGGAAAAGCAAACACCAAACAGCCACCCCAAAAGCCCCTTTCAGGATATGAGTATAAAATGGTGAGTGGAAATCTGCCCTCAATTAAAAATTATCCCATCCCATATCAGTGATCCACGTTATTCACCTTTTATTACTTATAAATTTCTATTTTTTGTCCTTCACTGAATCCAAACACCAAAAAGGTCCAAAAGCCTTTTAATTTTGGAGGGAAAAAGTAATTTTCCAAAAAAGGGATTGCACAATTACAGAAATGTGAAAATTGGCATCTCATCAACAGAGACATTTCCCAGCAGCATCTTTATCTGCTGACTCGTGTCTGCTGCAGCCCAAACCAGATAAAATCTAAGGACTGATTAGGCTTGTGACATCCTGCTGCTTGCTTTGGGCTGGTTTTCATGTTTTTCCTTTGGGAATCATCTGCAGTGATCAAACATCTTTGAAAATTAAGGAATGAAATTGGGGTGGGCTCCCCCAAATCCTCCCTTTGGGCTGAGGGGCTGTTCCTGCACACACCCATCACCTTTTCCTACATTATCACTTCAGATAAACCAGACCTCTCATCCCAGAAAATGCTTAAACAATGTTAAATTTCTCTGTTTCAGGCCATATTAGTGAGTGTCAGATGCTCCAATAATGGATATAAATCCCCCATGCAGCTCCTGCTCTGTTTTTGCTAAGAGGTGTTTGTGATGTGCTGGTGCTCCTGCTTTTTCCACTCAGATTTTAATTCACAGCCTTAAATCTTGATGGTGGTGTTCCACAATGCCTCTGGACCTAAAAATCAAACAGGGAGGGAAAGATGTGCAATGGAACCTGGATTTTTGAACATGAGTTTTGAGGAATATGCCCAGTGAATATTAAACAAGTGGCTCAAACTCCCAGGAAATCTCACTCACCTGAGCTGTTTTCTCTTCCCCAGTCATTTATTTTCCTTTTTTCCCTGCACTGGGATTTTTTCTGCTGTAAATGTACCCTGGAAAGTGCAAGTTGGTGACGGTTTTTTAGAGATTTTTTTTTTTCCAAAAGTATATTAACAGAGCAAGCTGAGGTTTTCCTGAGGAGATTTTTGTCATTGCAGAGAGCTGGGCTGTGTTTTTGTCATGGTTTGTGTAAGCTGAGAGGAAGTGTGACCATGTGGCTCATTAAAAGTGTCACCAACTGCTCTGCAGTTCATGGAACTTCCTCACTTGGAAGGGATCCACAAATTCATCAAAGTCCAACTTCTTTCCCTGCACAGAACAGCCCCAAAAATCACACCCCATTCTTAAATAGTGCATTGAGCATTAAATCTTTTCCTTGCTTTGTTTGGGACTTTTTTGTGGTTTTTTTCTTACTCTGGCCAGGTGTGTTTATTAAAATTACCTGCTGGAAATCCATGGGGATTTCATTAATTAACACCTAGCAGGGAATTCCAGCCTGTCTGCTGAGAGGAGAGAGTCCATCCATGGGAGCAGAGCAGGGAATTATTAATTATCCCATCCCAGGTTGGGCCAATTGGTTCTGGCACATTTTGCCTCAGAACAAATGAGAGGAGAAATGGCACTTTCAGATTTGATACCCAAATCAAGCCAGGATGTAATTCCACCCATCAGGGAGGAGGCATTTCCCTGGCTCCACACATCCAGGGTTGGGGATTTAAAAACCTCTGGAAGAAGAGAGGGATGGGTCTTGCTGAAAAAGTTGTGAGGTTTTGGCTGTGCATAAGATTAAATGAATAAAATCAGCTCTTCCTAAATAATGGGGGAAAAACCCTCTGTCATTTCTCCTAAGGAACTGTTTGGATTCTCAGAGCAACATAATATTGATAATTTTTCTGTAATTTCATATATATATACACATATACACACACAGAGACAGACATACATATATGTATATATATACACATACACATACATATATTTTAAAATTTAATGACATTATCAAGAACCTGCAGGAACAGCCCCATCTTCCCTCTCTGTCAAAATTAGGGGATCCAACCTCCAGAAACCCTCTGGCTCTGCACTCCAGCAGGATAAAAGCACAGCCCTGGGCATCAGAGCCCTGCTGGGGCTGGATCTTTAGGAAGAGCATTAGGAATCAAATCTTTAGGAAAAGAATTAGAAATCAAATCAGGAAATTACTTTCCCCCTCTGGATAAAATCATGTGTTCATGTAGAAAAAAAAATTTAAAACCTTTGTTGTAACTCACATCGTAAATGGATCCAACTAGCAAATGATTTAATGATTTTTTTTTTAATGATTGATATTTGTTCTGCTGTGTTGATGTTGCACAAATTCCAGTGAGTAGCTCTTTTCCTGGGAACTGCTTCCATTGGCTGAATGGCTTCAATCCAGACCATGAGAGGTTTTCATCAAAGTTTTCGGGCCAATATTATTTTTGACATGAAAGCAAATAGTAGCACAATCTTTCTATATATATAAAAATAAAGGTAGAGTTTTTAAACAGTGACTCCACATTTTGTAAAGAAAAGTTAGAATAACATTCACTGCTCCTTGAGCTTTTGAGAGGAAACCTCAGCATCATTTTCACAGCCATTATTTTGCAGATGAGAAGTGTGTTTAGGTTATTTTGCTTACCTGTAAGAACAGATAGAAAGAAAGGAAATTCTTCATGGAGAATTCCCTTTGTTTGCCAATGGATCACACCCTCAGCTGCATCTCTGTCAGTGTTTATGACAAAAAATCAAGGTACAAACCACTCTGGAGTAGCAGGACATGTTTACATTGCAGCTCTGGATCTCTCATGTCAAATCTCAAGTGATCTGCACTGATTTGTTCTGTTTTCAGGCAGGAGCCCCTCGGGGGCTTTGAGCCAAAGCATTCTGTCTGTTCATTTTTTATTATTATGGTTCTGACTTTAAACAAGAGACTTTGTAATTTCATGAGAAAAAGATCAAAGCAAATGTGGTGTCACCATCACAATGTTACTTTTTTGGGAGCTAAATGTTAGTGTGCATTGATTAAAGTTTAGAGAAACGTGTTGTACTGTAGTTGCTGTTTGTACCACGCAGATGTGCACGTACGGTTTGAAAAGATATTTTCATTTTACATGAAATACAACTTTGCTAATAAAAGTTTGACTTGATGTAATCTTCAAAAGCCTTGGCTGCAATCAGCAAATTTCTTTTGTTTGATTTGGGGGTTTTGTTGGATTCTTTTTTCACTTGACTCTGTTTATTTGCTGGGAATCTGATTGAACTGGGACTCACAGCCCTCTCTGGGCTGTGACATGTGGGGGTTTTGGGTTTTTTTTGGTTTCACACCAAGGTTGAGCTGCCCTTGGCTTTCACTGGGATTTTTGGACACCATGGATCATCAGCCCTGTAGATATGACACCAAAGCAGGATGAAGCTGATCTGTAAACAGCCTGAATTTAAATCCTCATTGATTCCATGAGATCCTCTCCTGGACCAAACTATCACCCTGTACATTGTTAGCATCTCTCACAGGCTTTACTCACCCTGTATACTGTTAGTATCTCTCACAGGCTTTACTCACCCTGTACATTGTTACCATCTCTCACAGGCTTTACTCACCCTGTATACTGTTAGTATCTCTCACAGGCTTTACTCGCCCTTTAATCAGCACACAGAGTTTCTACTCCTCTTCATTAAAGATCACCAGAATACTGGTAATTTTATCAATATCCAGGCTCACACAACCAAATAATACCTCGTTTTGTTGTTTTTTTAGGGAAAACTACACTTGTGCCTAAAGTCTGGAATCTGTATGTATTAATTTTACAGGAATTTAGCAAATGGGCTTTTTTTGCCGAGGAAAATACCTTGGTTTTTTGTTACTCCCTCCCCTTTGCCCATCAGCAATACTCTATTCTAGGATTAATTCTACTCTGTCTGCCCATGGGAAGGTTCTGCAGGTGAACACAAATTCCCTCTCCTGATACGTGGAACAGCCAAAGTGAGGACTCAATAAAAGGCAGCAGACAAATCCATGGCAGCTGATATTGCTGGAAAATCCATTTTTTAATGTATTTAACAGGAATCTGAAAGATCTGGTTGATGCTCACTAGCATCACCCTTGATGCTGGTGTGGCTACTGTGCTGCTCTGAGTGTATCTCACTGTATTTATAAATTATATAATTTAATTATATAATAATATATAATTTTGATAATTATGATATTTGATATAGGTTATAATATATAATATATCTGATATAAATTATGATTATTTATTATATATTAATATAATTTAATTTATAATTTATAATTCACTCATGTCTGAGCTCTGCACATTTCTAAGCCTCATTTAACAAGACTTGGGTGTTGTTTTTGAAGCCCACATGATGTGGCTAAACCCACCCAGGAGAGCTGGAGCCCCATTTAATTCTGTGCTATTCTGAGTGTATTTCACTGTATTTCAGTGAAATAAATTCTCCTTTTTTTCTTTTTTTTTTGCCACATGTTTTTAGCTGCTTCACTTCAGGACGTTTTTCATGCATTCTTCACCTG